TGAGCGTGGGGCAGCAGCACAGGCCTGGGGGCGAGGCTCGGAGTCAAGAATCAGGGCCAGCCCTGGCCGGTGTGGCTCAGTAGATAGAGCCTGCAGACTGAAGGGTCCCTGGTTTGATTCGGGTCAAGGGCACATGCCCGGGTTGCAGGCTCCATCCCCAGTTGGGGGGTGCAGGAGGCAGCCGATCAATAATTCTCTCTCATCATGATTGTTCCTATCTCCGTCTCCCTCTCTCTGCCTCTTGTGAAATCAATTTATTTATTTTTATTCTTTAAAAAATATATTTTATTGATTTTTTTTTTTTTTTTACAGAGAGAAAGGGAGAGGGATAGAGAGTTAGAAACACCGATGGGAGAGAAACACCAATCAGCTGTCTCCTGACACCTCCCACTGGGGATGTGCCCGCAACTAAGGTACATGCCCTTGACCGGAATCGAACCCGGGACCCTCCAGTCTGCAGGCCGACGCTCTATCCACTGAGCCAAACCACTTAGGACATGAAATCAATTTAAAATATATATATTTAGCTGGGACCGGTTTGGCTCAGTGGATAGAGTGCTGGCCTGTGGATTGAAAGGTCCCGGGTTCGATTCCGGTCAGGGGCATGTACTTTGGTAGCAGGCACATACCCATTGGGGGGTGTGCAAGAGGCAGCTGGTCGGTGTTTCTCTCTCATCGACGTTTCTAACTCTGTCCCTCTCAATTCCTCTCTGTGTAAAATCAATAAAGTATATATATATATATTTTTTTTTTTCTTAAGTATATTTTTTAAAAATTATAAAATATATATATATAAAAAGCACCACCCCCTGCCCCGCCCCCTCACCAGTGATGTGGTCCAGGTGGTCGTCCTGGGGCCGGTGGTCGAAGCGCTGGCTGTGTTGCAGGTCAAAGTGCACCAGCCCGTAGGTGGCGCTGTTGGGGTCCTCGAAGGCCACCATGAGGGTCCTGCCGAGCGCGCACAGCGCCAGCGCGGGGTGGCAGCAGGAGAAGGTGCGCAGCAGGCTCAGGCTCTCCTCCGAGTAGGGGAACACGCGCCATATCTTCACCGTCAGGTCCGCGCCTGCCGGGCGGGCGGGCGGGCGGGGCCAGCGCTGGGCCTTTGTGCGGGGAAGGGGATGGCGGCCCCGGGGAGCGGGAGCGGGTACTGACCGGAGGACACGATGCTGCTCCAGGTGGAGGCAATGGCGGTGACCGGGCCCGGGCTGTGCGCCTCCGTGTGGAAGGCGCGCTCCGACGTTTGCCAGTTGAGCACCGACAGGGTGCCGTCCGTGTGGCCCACCACAGGCAGGTACCTGCAGGCCACGCCAGCCTGTTGGCACGGGCCCTGCAGGCCCGCCGGCCTTCACTGGCTCCCACACCTACCTTTTCCTTTCTTTCTTTTTTTAAATTTATTTTTAAAAATATTTTATTGATTTTTTACAGAGAGGGAGAGGGAGAGATAGTCAGAAACATCAATGAGAGAGAAACATCGATCATCTGCCTCCTGCACAACCCCCCCCGGGGATGTGCCTGCAACCAAGGCACATGCCCTTGACCGGAATTGAATCTGAGACCCTTGAGTCTGCAGGCCAACGCTCTATCCACTGAGCCAAATCAGTCAGGGCTCTTTCTTTCTTTTTTTCTTTTTTTTTTTTTAATATTTTTAGATTTTATATATATATATATATATATATGTATATATTTCATTAATTTTTTACAGAGAGGAAGGGAGAGGGATAGAGTCAGAAACATCAACCAGCTGCCTCCTGCACCCCCCCCCGGGGATGTGCCCGCAACCATGGTACATGCCCTTGACTGGAATCAAACCCTGGACCTTTCAGTCCACAGGCCGACGCTCTATCCACTGAGCCACACTGATTAGGGCTGCTCTTTTCTTTTAATATACATTCTTTAAAAAACCCCAAAAAGACCACCATGTTTTTATTGGTTGTATAGAGGGAGAGGGAGAGAGAGAAAAATCAACGAAAGGGAATCATGGACAGGCTGCCTCCTGCGCGCCCCCCACAGGGGAACCAGCCCGCAACCCGGGCCTTGTGTGTCCTGACCGGGGAATGGAACCTGCGACCTCTTGGTTCCTCCTGGGTCAACGCTCAACCGCCGAGCCACGCCGGCCGGGCACACCTACCTGTTCTTGTCCTTCCAGGTTTGCACGTTGCTGCGGCCCAGCTCCCCCCGGTGCTGGCACACCATCTCCCAGCTGGTGAAGGCGCTGCCGCGGTCGGTGAGGTGGCTGTAGAGGTGCAGGCAGCAGGGCCGGGGCGCGGGGTGCGGCCGCGGGCCCACGCGCAGCAGCACGCGCATGGGGCTGCACAGCGTGTTGGCGCGCACCAGGTGCCCGGCGTGCGTCAGCAGCCACAGCACCTCGTGCGGCAGGCAGTAGGCCACGGCGGCGGCCCGGTCCTCGGGCCCGAGCAGCAGCGCCGTCACGATGCGCCCGGTGTCCGGGTTCACCAGGTAGACGGAGCCGTCGGCGCAGGCGCACACGAGGCGAGCGGGCAGGTGCGTGGTCAGGGGCAGCTCGGGCGCCATGTGCAGGTGCAGGATGGGCGCGGACAGCTGCGCCAGCGGCGAGTACAGCTCGTGCAGGCCCCACAGCTCCACGCTGCCCGCGCGCAGCGAGAGCACGGGCCAGCCGGGCCCGGCGGGCGCCAGCAGGCTGTGCACGCTCTCGGACCGCGCGCCCTGGTCCCAGCAGCTCAGCACCACTTCGCCCACCTGGGCCACCGCCTGCAGGTCCCAAGTGCGGAGCGTCCCGTCCTGGGAGGCCGACAGCACCAGGGTCGTGTTGGGGAGCACGGCCATGGCCGTCACCGGGCCTGCGGGAGGGCGCGCATCACTCCTGGTGCCCCAGGATGGAGAGACGGGAAAGTATCAGCACGGGTTCGAAAGAGAGACACGCCGGGCCAGGGACGGCCGAGGTTCCTCCAGCGCAGAGCTCTCTCGGCTGCGTGGAGAGAGGAGGGCCGGGGGCAGGCGGGGCGGGCGGGGTGTACCTGTGTGGCCCACGAACACCATCCGGATCTGCCAGTCCGCCCCCCACACCTTCACCGTGCTGTCGCGGGACGCGGTCACCGTGGCCTCCATCTCCCCGCAGTACACCAGGTCGGAGATGGTGCTGGGGGGAGGCCCGGCGGGCTCAGCGTGGCCTCCCGGAGCCTCTGCGCCCCTGCGCCCCCCTCCCCGGGCCCCCCTCACGTTTTGTGCAGGTCCTGGCGCACATCCACCACCGTCCAGGCCTGCAGGTCCAAGGTGATCACGGCCGAGCCGTAGGCCGCAAAGCAGTGCTGCGCGGCGTTGGGAGACAGGGGCCCCAGGGCCAGGCGCGTGAGCGCAGCCTTGGAGCTTGGCTGAGGCTGCAGCGAGGGCCCGCAGGGCGACAGGCGGCGACCCCCCAGGCGGAACTTCCAGAGCGCCAGGCCGCCGCCCGCCTCCGCCACCAGCAGCAGGCCCAGGGCCGGCACCGGCAGGCAGCAGGCGGGCTGGCGGCGGCGGCGGAGCGGCCTGCCCGCGCTGGGCCCGCTCAGCCACAGCAGGCTGAGGTCCGGCTTCAGGAGGGCCAGCCCCGCGGGGCCCCAGCCCACGAAGCGGCTCACGGAGCCCAGCGGGCCCGGCACGGCCGCCAGCCCCGTGAGCGCCACGGGGGCCTGCAGCGTGCCGAGCCCCCAGCCGTCCTGCTGGTGCAGGTGGAGGCAGCCCGCCCGGTCCAGCACCACGAAGCGCCTCCCCACCGGGTCCTGCGCCACCGAGCACAGCCCGGCCGCCACCTGCAGGCGGCGCAGCGGCTCCAGGCCGTGCGTCAGGCGGGCCACGCGCATCTGGGACTTCTTCTCCTGCGGGACGGCGGGCGGGCGGGGGAGGCCGTCAGTCCGCGGGGAGGGAAGGTGCCCCCCGCCCCCAGGGGCGCCCAGAGGGCTGGCGGGGGACCCCGCTGGGGACCCCGGGGGCCGCCGGGCTGGGAGACAGGCCCCCGGGCGGACGGCGTGGCCCGGGCGCACCTTCTCCAGGAAGCTGTGCCGGCCTCGGCGCAGCAGCCTCCACAGCTGGCGGGCGCGGGCCTTGGGGGTGGAGGTCTTCCTCCAGGCGCCCCGCATGAAGAGGTGCGGGGCCAGCTTCGAGAAGGACAGCTCTGCGGGCCGGCGGGGGCGTCAGTGTGGCCCGGCCCCGCTCGGGAGGCCGCGGGCGGCCGGCACCTTCCTGGGCGCCCTGCGTCCCCGCTGGAGCCGCCGGAGGGCGGCCGGGTCGGCTCACCCTTCTCCTCCAGCAGCCCGGGGTCCGGGACGTCGTCGCTGTCCGAGTCATACAGGTCGGGTTCCAGGGTCAGGAAGTTGCCCTCCATGGAAAAGAGGCTGCCTTCCACCGAAAAGGGGTTGTCTTCCACCGAAAGCCGGTCGCTTGCTTCGGACACCTCCGTCTCCATTTTGGCGGCTTCCGGTCCAGGCGGCTTAACAGCCCCTGCGGCCTGTTGCTAGGATACCAGGGGACGGGCCCCGCCCCCGCGCAGGCCCCGCCCCCATCCACACAGAGCCCGGGGCCACAGTTAAGTCACATAAACTTTTATTGGAAACAAACAAGCTGCAGCAAAGTGACACTCAGTGCACGCTGCCCGGTGGGCGAGTGGGGGGACAGGTGGGCGCCGAGGGCCTGGGCCTGCCTGCTGGGTCTCGCGCCCTTTGGGCTGGAGTGTGCAGGCCCAGGTACAAAATACAAAAATAAACTCTGTGGTCCAGCCGTCCCGCCTCGTCAGTTCGTTGGGGCTGGGCAGTGGCTGTTCCCGCCAGGCCCCGTGCTGTCAGTGCAGTCCGGCCACAAGGCGGGCAGCGGGGCCTGGGGGGGTGAGTGGCCGTCCGAAGGCTGGAAACCAAAGGGCGAGGTGGGCAGCGCTGGAGCTGGAGCCGTGCCAGGGTCTGGCCAGCCGCTGGGGAGGCCCCGGGCCCCTCAGGTGGGCAAGTCCAGGCCCTGGTTGACGCCGGATGAAGCTGGGCCTCTGCTTGTCCTCCTCACATACAGATCACGGGGACTCTGAGCGGGGGCACAGTGGCCTTGAGGAGCTAACACCTGGGAGACCAGGCAGAGGGCCCCACCCCGTCCTGCCCACCCCGCGCTCCGGGCAGCCCGTGTGCCGCCACCTTCACACACCTGTCCTCCATGGGGCTGGTCTCCTCGGATCCGCCCTCATTGCCGCCATCTCTGAGCTCCTCCTCCTCCTCCCCCAGCTCCATGTCCAACTCATTGCCCGCCTCGGAGGGTGTGTACGTGGATCCACTGGGGGAGGGGGGGAGCAGTCTTAGAACTGCCCACCCTGGCCTGCTGCTGCCCCCGAGGGGGCAGTCAGGAGTGGGGTGGGCCCTAACAGGAAGCCGGGGGGTGAGGGGGGACGGACGCCAACCTGATGGAGCGGCAGCTGAAGAAAACGATCCGCTTGAGCCGCTTGTTGTAGAAGAAGTAGTTGAAGGACCAGAGGCTGCCATCTTCCCCAAAGGGGTCCGAGTCCAAGTCGGGGTTGTAGCTGGATGGTGTGGAGTGAGATGGGTGTGAGGCCCCGGTGCCGCACGCACCCAGCGCCCACTGCAGGCACGCCAGCCCACCTGTAGATGTCGCACTCGGCCAGGCAGATCTCCTCGTCCACGGCGTTCCACAGCTGCGGCTTCAGGGCCCTGAAGTCCTCCCGCACGGCCGAGAACAGACTGCAGTTGACGGCGTTCACCACCTAGGATGGGCACAGCTCGGCTGACCGGGTGCCGGGACGGCAGGCACGGGAGGGGTCAGGGGCCACTGACAACGGGGAGGACGGTGTGAACAGCTGTGGGCTCACCCAGCTGAGGCTGGGCTCCCGGCTGAACTCGTGGCTGCGGGCCGCGCTGAAGTCGTAGTCGGGCCGGAAGGACTCGTTGAGCGTGGCGATCAGGTAGAAGAGGGTCTTGCGGCTGCACTTGTCGCTGAGGGGGCCCTCATCCTCGCCGCCTTGGCTCTTGCTCAGTCTGCACCGAGAAGCAAGCGTCAGCCCAGCACTGCCCTGCACCCGACCGCCCCCGGCGGGCAGGCCCTGCCCGGGCTCACCTGCTGGGGCTGAGGCCCGAGGTCTGGGGCGGGGACAGGGCCTCCAGCACGTGCGGTTGGCCTTCCTGGCAGAACTGCTTGAACATGTGCTTATCGTCTCCCGCCATCTTACACGAGTAGCTCTCGATCCTGCACGGTGGATACAGTGGGACCGTGGGGCATGCCACCCTCCGCTGCCACTCAGGGCCGGGGCAGTGGGAGCTCCGGGGCCTCAGCTCCAAGAGCCCCACCCTCACCTGCCAATGATGTGGGCATCTCCCGTCTCCACAGTCAGCTGTGAGTTGATGGCCTCAAAGCTTGAGTTCTCCAATAGCTTCATGTCCTTGGGGAGGGCGTCCTGTGCTCTGAGGGGCTGGTGCTGCCCTGGGGACCGGAGGCCAGTCCATGAGTATCTGGCCCCAGGCCCTTCACCTGTAGCCTTCTCTCCGGTAAACGAAGCCCAGGTAAACAAGCTAGGCCCCTCCCACAGCCTGCGCCCAGGCCCAGGCACTGGCAGCAGGCGATGAGATCCTGTTACCTGAGAGTGGCAAGTCCAGGCCCCAGCTCAGCCACACCCCCTGCACCTCTTTGGAGTCCTAGGGTCAGGCTGGGGGCCCACAGGGATCCTGCTCACCCCAAGACTGCTGGGTTCGTCTCTTAACACTCCCCATCCTGGTTTGGAACCCCGACACCTGGGGCTCGGGCTTGAGGTCACCTGGACTACGCGATCTTCCCTGCTCTGCGGGTTGCTTTATAGCGAGGGGAAGAGGAAACCTGTTCTCCAAAGAGTGCCCAGCTTCTTCGGGAACGGAGGGAGGGCTCACGGCCTCCGAACGGCCCGGCCTAGTGGAACCCCAGCCTAGCCGCGGCGAACTACAAATCCCAGAAGGCCGTGCACCCTAGACATGCGCAGGGGCCGGCGCGAGGCCTGCTGGGGTCTGTAGTTCTGGAGGCCCCGATACGACGCCGAGCACCGGGCGGACACCTACTTGCTTGCTTTTCGCTCTATCTGGCCGGGCAGAGCCAGGCCGAGTCAAGTCGGTTGGTGTCGATGCGGGTGAGAAGTCGGTGCGGGTTCCGGGCAGCGCGGGCTCCTCAGGATCGGAGGGCGGCGCCGCGGCCTCCGCTCGGGCCGCACTGTATCCGGGGGAAGAAGCTCTGCGGCGACATCCCGTTACTCCCGGCCGTGCCGGCCGATCCGGGCTGCCACCGCGACATACCCTCGCCCCTGCACGACGTCCGACTATCGCGATGGACCTGCCCGCCGACCGCCACAGATCGCCTCAGCTAACGAGCTAGCGACCGACCGACCTCTGCTTCCTCCGGCCGGACAACAACAAGCGCCCGCAAGGCCCGGCCCCACGCCTCTGAATGGCCAGCTCCAGCCGCTGCGATGCAGAGCTCGGAGAGCCATTGGGGACGTTACCCGCCGCTCAGTCCTGTCTTTTACAGCTACTGGCTGCAGCCCCTGTCTGTCACTCTTCTCGCCGCCGGAACCCTTCTTCCTTCCCAGCGCCCATTGGTCACGGCTCCGTGCCTGCCCCGCCCCCGGTGGCCGCCGGGTTCCCAGGAGAGGCTGCTGGATCTGTGCGGCGTGGGCGGGACCGGGCTGCAGAGCGCGGGCGCGGCGACCACCGGAAGGGGCCTGGGCGCGGCGTCCGGCTCCCGCCCGGGGAGACATGGGCTGCTTGGCTGCAGCTCTCCCGCTCGCTCTAGCCTTTAAGGTGACGGGGTCCGCGCCTGCCCTCTAGTCTTGGCCGGCGCATCCGTCCATTACACTTTGCCCCGGCCCTACAAGCCTCCGGATCCAGCCTCCACCACCCGTGTCCGAGTCCCTTAGACCGAGTATATCCTGGGCAAAGCCGGGCGGTCCAATTCCTCCCTCTCCCCCACTCCCACCCCCGCCTACACCTCGGGCTTCGACCCGCTGGCCGATCCGGAACCCTAGGCTCGCGGCCTCAGTTTCCGGCCGGCACAAGCGCCCGGCGGTCCCAGCCCACGGAAGCGAGATCGGACGGCCGAGACACGGCTGGACCGGAGATGGCGCCGCCGGCGGGCGGAGAGGCGGCGGCCTCGGAGCCGGGTTCGTCCACGGTGCTGCAGGCCGTGCACGCCGTCGTGAGGCCGCTGGCCGCCGGGCCGGACGCTGAGGCGCAGCTACGGAGGCTGCAGCTGAGCGCGGACTCCGAGCGGCCCGGGCGCTTCCGGCTGGAGCTGCTGGGCGCGGGGCCCGGGGCGGTGAGTGGGGGCGGCCAGGCCCCTCCGCTTGCCCCTGGAGTTACCCATAGCAGGACACCTTCCTCGCTTCCATAACGGGGATAATGGTGGCACTCACGTTCATAGGACTACTGTGCGGTTTCGTAAGAGAAGCCTTAAAGCGCTTAGGACGGCGCGGTGGCCTATCCCTGCTACCTGGTGCCTTCGGTCCCATGTAGCATGTGCTTGCGGGGAGGCATGAGCTTGGCCTCTCCCGTCCCCAGGTCAGCTTGGAGTGGCCTTTGGAGTCCGTCTCCTACACCGTCCGAGGTCCCAGCCAGCACGAGCTGCAGCCTCCACCCGGAGGGCCTGGCACCCTAAGCCTGCACTTCCTCAACCCTCAGGAAGCCCAGCGGTGGGCAGCCCTGGTTCGAGGGGCCACGGCGGAGGGACAGAATGGTCAGTGCCATGGAGCAAAGGTTCATGTGGTTGGCCAGGGGCTGTGCTGGGAGAGTGGGAGTAGCCCTGCCTCGGGCTTGGATGGGGAAGGTAGGGGGGAAAGCTGGGCCCACTGGACCCATCGCTGGCCTTCCGGGAAGGCTCCCAGGAGGAAATGGGGAAAGGGATGGGCCCAGAGCTGGGGGCTGGAGTACCAGACCAGTGTGGAGGGCGGAGCCAGCAGGCCCAGGACCTGGGAAAAGTATTCAGTGGGAGAGTGACAGGCTCGGCTTGAGCTCCTAAAGGTTGGCACTCGTAGGGCCAGGTGCAGATAGGGCTGGAGAGAAGGATGTTTCCGGAGATGCTTAGGGGATGCAGTTGGCTGGGTTTTGTGGGTGTTTAACTGGAAGAGTTAGTGGTTGAGACATAAAGACCGGGGTCCAGAGGGGAGTCCTGTTTGGGAGAGCATGATCAGGGGAGAGGGAGGGGGCAGGGTTAACCGAGGTCAGCAGGAGAGAAGAGGCAGCGTGTCAGCTGGAAGAGCCTACAGAGGCATCCAAGAGCTGCCAGAGGGGCAGGAAGAAAGCCACACAGGATGGCGTGACGTGCCGTAGCCCGGCAGCACAGTATTTGCAGAGGAAGGGGAGCTTTCTCATGTCTCTGTCACCAGGAGGTTCCCTGGAACCGTCCTGGGCTCAGCACTCCTTTAGGCTTTGGAGACGAAGCATGAATAAAACTTCAAGTTTCTGCTCTTGCGCAGCTTTTGGTTCTAGAGGGGAGGCAGACATAAATGAGGAAATAGAATTGTCAGAAGGTGAGAGGGAGGCAGTGAAGGTGGCACGGAGTGAAATGGAAGATTGAGGTGTCCCCTGTGGCCAGAGAGCACTGGGCACATAGGCCTTGAGGCAAGAGCATGCATTGAGAAGGGCCAGGCTGGTGCTGGGTGCTTGGGAGCCCTGCTTATTTCAACCCTGGGGGCTGTCGGCATCGGAAGGAAGGGTCAGCAACTACTGTCCCTCCTCCTCAGCCCGGCTGGCCCTGCCCTTCCTGCACCTTCAACGTCCCGAGTCGGCCTGGCTGTAAGATGTGTAGCACCCAGAGGCCCCGTGCTCAGAATTCTGAGGGCCTGAGCTGCCTCAAATCAGGCGGGCTGGGCCTTAAGTGGAGGGACGAGGGAGAGATGGAGCAGCCAGCTCTGTAAGGACGCCCGGGGCAGACAGTGCCTGAGAGGCTTTGTTTGGGATGGGAGAAGTCTGAGATGGGAGAAGTCTGAGATGTGCTGCTGGTAGGAGGAGGAGGGATGGAGGTGCCTGAGGGCACCAAGGGGCGGCCAAGCTGACTGCAGGGCTCCTCTGCACCTGCTTCGGTTCTCCTGAGTCGGGAATATCCCCGGCTGGCTGAGAGGGCCTGTGGAGGCCAAGAGAAGTCTAGCCTCCGTGGAGGAGGGCCCTGGGGGGACCAGAGGGCAGAGGGTCCAGAAGGCTCCAGAGCACAAGTGCAGCTCCAGCTCTGAGAGGAGTCAGCAGGGACCCTTGGAAAAGCCAAGGCTTGAGGGAAGGCCTGGCTGAAAGTGTGGCCAAAGCAGAGCCCTGGCAGAGCTGAGGCAAGGAGGGAGGAGGCAAGGGTCCCGGACACCTGAGAGCAGAGGGCAGAGGCCCAGGTGAGAGGCTGATCTCGGAAGACCATCTGCTCACCCCCATCTTCCCTCCTAGGCAGTGACAATCTGTGTCCAGCCCTGGGCCCAGACACGTGTCCCGTTTCCCCGCCCAGTCCCCCCGAAGTGCCCACACTCAAGGCCCCCAAAGTGGATGTTCCCTCAAGTTCTGGAGACTTGATGGAGAAAGGTAAAGGCAGATGGCCAAAGGGGGTGGGGCAAGCAGCCATGCCCAGCTGAGATGGTGCACTCTCTCCGGTAGAAGAGCTGGCAGGGCGCCTGGCACAGGCTATTGAGGATGGAGATGAGAAGGGGGCAGCCCAAGCCGCAGCCATCCTGGCCCAACGTCACGTGGCCCTCAGTGTCCAGCTCCAGGAGAGCTGCTACCCTCCTGGCCCCATCAGGTGAGACCTGGGACTTTGTCCTCCCCCCACCCTCCCTGGCACCCATCATCCTCTGAGCCGAAATTGTGGCCCAGGCTACAGGTCACAGTGGAAGATGCTTCGTCCTCTGCCCACGTCTCACTTCAGGTCCACCCCCACTGCACCATCTCGGCCCTCCAGGAGCAGGTGAGCACAGGGTCCGGGACCCCCTCTGGAGGCAGGCACCCTGGGGACACTGCCTGGCCCTGACGCTCTGCTCCAGGTCTTCTCGGAGTTTGGCTTCCCGCCAGCTGTGCAGCGCTGGGTCATTGGCAAGTGCCTGTGCGTGCCCGAGCGCAGCCTCGCTTCCTATGGGGTCTGGCAGGACAGGGACCCCGCTTTCCTCTACTTGCTCTCAGCCCCTCGAGAAGCTCCAGGTCAGTCCTTGATTGTGTTGGGGTGAGGAAGGTGGGGTACAGCTGACAAGGCCCTGAGCCCCCCCCACTTCCACCATAGGACGCAGCCCTCAGTGCCCCCAGAAGATGGATGGGGAACTAGGCCGCCTGTTTTCTCAGACATTGGGGCTGCCCCGAGCGCCTCAGCCAGCCAGCTCCAGCCTCCCCAGCTCCCTTCAGGTAGGCAGGAGCCAGGTGAGGCGGGCCTGGGCGGCTGTGGGCATCGGAAGGAAGGGGTTAGCAACTACTGTCCCTCCTCCTCAGCCCGGCTGGCCCTGCCCTTCCTGCACCTTCATCAACGTCCCGAGTCGGCCTGGCTGTGAGATGTGTAGCGCCCAGAGGCCCTGCGCTTGGGACCCCCTTCCTGCAGCCTCTACCCAGCAGCCGCCTATGGTACTGGAGGAGGGGGAGGGGGGGGATGGGGAGGGCAGCAGAACAGCAAAATGACCGTCTTCCCTCCACCCCCAGGTCACAAGGAGAGAGGACGGTCCTTCCCTTCCAGGCCCGAGGTCCCTGGATGCCCTCTTGAACCTCTCAGGGGACCTCCATTGACTGCTCCCTGGGGACAGATCCAAAGATGGGGGGAGGGGCCACGAGCCAAAGTCATTAAAGATTCTTCTGAACCAGCTGAGTGCCTCCTCTTTGTGCGGACTAGGCAGCAGGGAGGATGGAGAGCAGACACAGCTCCACCCAGGAAGCTTGGCAGAGAGGGGCAGAGTCTGGCTCTCAGCAGGGGTGCCCAGCTGGGTCCAGGTAGCTACGCAAGAACTTACTTGGACCCAAGTCCCGTGAGACCTACAGGCATGGTGCTGAGACATTTTCATACACTGAGAAGCTTGTAGAGCCTACACCCCACCCCAACTGCTGACCACTGGGCTAGGGCCGCTGTGAGCGCCCCCCCAGCTACCATGCCTCCCCTCACCCACCTAGAGCCCCTCAGGCATGCACCCTTTCCCTTCCTCCCTCTCAGCTCTGCCCTCCCAGGTGTCCGCCACTCCTTAGGGCTGCTCCAGCCAGGATGCCTTCAATTCCTTTCCGGGACGAGAGAAACTTGGAGCCCTGAGCCAGAGCCCTGTGCTACTGCTGTGGCAACATGTCCGCGGCCCTCCTGCCACTGACAGACCCACTGCGGCCCCCTCCTCAGCTGCCTGTTAACTGCCAGGAGCACTGCACTCCCCGAGCCCCTCCAGCATGATCCTTTCTCAGGGGACCCCTCCAGCTGTGCAGCCAAGAGACCAGGAGCGCACTGTGGGGGTGCCTTGCTTATCTGTTTCCTGAGCAGAGGTGAGAGCTGTCTCCCTCTCCCAGCCACGCCCAGCCCAACAGAACAGCCCCCTCAGCTCCTCCTGCAGGCCAGGCCCCTCCCTCTGGGATGCGGCCAAGGGCTCCCTTCAAGTGGTTCATCACACTGACACTTGGCTGGGTTCTCTGCAGACCCTGGGCCATGGCCAGCCAGGCCTTCACCTCTGTGGCCAGGTGCTCCCTACCCCAACGAGAGCTGCCACCTTCTCTAACAGATCTCTGCTTCCTGTCCACATCCAGAATGGAGGGCACCCCCGCCCGCAGTCAGTGCCACACTGCACGAGACATTCCTGGGAGCTCCGAGGGAAAAGGTCTTCCTCTCAGAGTCTCCTGCAAACTGCACTCATCACCCAATAGCCCAGTGTGTCTATTGAGAAACTTAATTTATTTCCATGATAGCAGCTGAAGGATCTGGAGCTCCAGCCCGGTCTCCTGCCCCCTCCCCTAGTGTCCCAGAGAAGGGGGGCGTGGCCAAAGGGCCAGCTGGGGTTTGAAGAGACCCAGGTGGCTTCTTGGCTTGAAGGCCCATTCAAACAGGATGGCAAGCAGACCTTGAGCAGGGTCACTTGGGTGGACGATATGCCAGCTTCCGGCTCTTCAGTACTGACCACTTGTGCCGCTTCATAGCGTAGAGCAGAGGCAACAGCAAGCCCATCATCATCAACATCTGAGGATAAGACAGGCTCAGCTCCCAGCCCCTCCCTCTGCCAGGCCCACGGTGCCCCCCCTGCCCGATCCTTTCACCTTGAGTCCCATGCGTTTCCGATGGTCATGCTCTGGCTCGGATGCCCAGCGCAGGAAGGTACACACGTCCTTAGCTACCTGGGACATGGTAGCTGGGGTACCTGGGCCAAGGACAAGTGGTGAGGGCTACCTTTGGGGCCCCTGCCCAACCTAGGATAGCCCTCAGAGCACCCCTTCCATGGTGGATGGGTCCCTGCCCAAGGCTTCAGAAGGGATGGGACCCCCTCAGGACACAATGGCCTGAGCTGGACAGGGCAGTGAAGGCTGCCCACAAGCCTCAGTCATGCACACAGTGTCCCAACCAAGGAGGACCCAGTGGGGAAAGTAGGGCCCTCACCATCATCAAACTCCAAGACCTCGTCGTAGATGGGGGGAGCCATGCCGATGGACTGGCCAGGGAAGTAGGGGTTGAAGTAGAGGCCTTCGCGCAGCGACACCCCGGTGGGGGGCTCACAGTAGCCGGTGAGCAGGGAGAAGACATAGTCTTCACCTCCGTGTCTAGGACCAAAGCCGCCGCCTCAGCCTCTGGCCGAGTGGGGCCTCCCTCCCGCCCTCCCGCCCTCCCGCCAGCCCTGCAGGAAGCCCGCGTACCGCGCTCGCACTATGTAGCTGAGGTCAGGGGGCACTGCTCCATTGTTGGCCGCTCTGGCAGCCTCAGGGTTGGGGTACGGTCTGGGAAAGTAGTCAGACAGCTTTCCTGGCCGCATGAACATCTCCCCGTCGTCATTGGGGCCGTCCTGAATCTCTACCTGCCACGGAGAGGACCATCACAGCCCCGCCCTGTCCTCCACGGGGGGAGCCCCGACCCCTGGGTCCCCCAGGCACCCCACCTCTTCAGCCAGGGCTTTAGCTTCGCTCTCGGTGTAGCACACGCCCACCAGGTGGCGGTAAGCCACGTAGTCCATGCTGTGGCAGGAGGAGCACACCTGCTTGTACACCTGGAAGCCCCTCCGGATGCTAAAGAGAGGGGAAGGGTTAGTGGAGCCCGGATCCCACCCTTCCACACCCTCTCCCCCCCTCCCCCGGCCAAAGCCGCACACCTGGTGTGGTCCAGGGAGGAGAGGAGGCCGCGGTGAGACCACGGGTAGCTGGGGGGGTGCAGCTCCAGGTCGCTGGCACTCACGGCCGTATGCAGAGCCACAGCCAGCCCTGCACCCCCGGCCGCCAGCATGCCCAGCGCCGACAGCATCACTTTCCGGCCCCGGGACTGACCAGACTTCGACGACAAGGACACTGCCTGCAAGAGCCGCGCTCAAGGCCTGCCAGGACACCGCCCGCCCCACCTGGGCTCCGAATCCCATTCATCGCCCAGCACGGGCCGCCTCCTGGGGCCGCCCAAAGCCTGCACCGACCCGCGGACCCCTCGACCGGGAGTGCCCCGCGGACGCGGTGTGAGGCCGGGGATCACGCCCAAAGGCACAGGGGCGCAGGGGCAGGCCAAGGTCACCGCAGCGGCCGAGGTCAGGCGGAGGTCACTTCAGGACGCCGGCCCCGTGCGGAAGGCGCGAGCCCGCCGGGCCTGGACGCGCCCCCGGGGGGAGCCCTCAGCCCCGACCCCGCAGCGAGCCCGCCCGCCACCCCCACGCTCCGCACGCGGCGCCGCGGCGGTTCGGAGGAGTGGGCGCCCGGCCCTTCATCAACACCCCGGAGGCACCGAGGTCAGCAGGCAGCGGGGGCCGGCAGGGCGCCGGGTGGCCGAGGCCGCTCCCCGCCGCTGGCCCGCGCCCGGAGCCTCCCCGCCGTGACCTTCAGGGCTGGGGGCCGCGCGGCGGCCGGCCCGGGCCCGCGCTCACCTGAGGCGTCCGCAGCGGGAGCTGCCCGGGCCGCGCGCCGCACAGCAGGCCCCGGGCCCGCGCCCCGGGCAGCCCCGCGCCCCGCGGGCCCAGCACCGCCCCGCGAAGCGAAACCGCCGCCGCCGCCGCCATCTTGGCCTCTGCAGCGCGGCCGCCGCTCCCGACGGCCCCTGCGGCGCCACAGGAGGTCAAAGCTCGCGAGACGCGGAGCGGGGGCGGGGCTTCAGGCCGTCAGTCCGAGCCCCGGCGCAGCCCGTCGCGGGCAGGGAGCCCGCGGTGGGCGGCGCTGTCGCGTCTCCCTGTGGCCGTGATAACGGACAAATCTGGGCTCCGGCTCGGCGGAGAGGCGCCCCCAAGGCCCGCACCACCCCGTCTGGAGCCCCCGGCGTCTCCTCGGCCATCGCGCGCTCTTATCCGTGCCGGCCCGCGCCGTGCGCGGGGGCGGGCGGGCGGCGGGCCCTGCTCCCGGGGAGCCTCGGTCACCTGCCGCCGTAGGACGGAGGGACGGGTCCGAAGTGCTGGTGCGGGAAGTGGTGGCTCCGGAGAACACCGACCTTGGTGAGAAGTCACCGCACTGCCACAGTTCCGAAGGGAAGTGCTCAGGGCTTTATATTTATTCATCCTTTTTCTAACTGACCCACATTTTTACCACTTGACTTTTCTTTAAAAAATAAAACATCAAGTGACGGTGAAAATAAAAAATAAATAAAAATGTATTTTTTAGCTCTAGCTGGTTTTGCTCAGTGGATAGAGCATCAGCCTGGACTGAAAGGTCCCGGGTTCGATTCTGATCTCGATCCCCGGTGGGGGCGTGCAGAAGGCAGCCGATCAATGATTCTCTCTCATCATTAATGTTTCTATCATAATCTCCCTCTTTGACATCAATAAAAAGATATATATTTTTTAAATGGATTTCTTTTTAAAGTGACTCAAGGTTCTAGCTAGACTTTAGGGACCAGCAGGCCAAAGACAGGCTGGAAGTCACAGTGGGTCTCCAGCGCCCTGGCCCCGCGGGGGGGCCCACCCCCACATGCTGGACAAAGTGCACAAACCCTCAACAGGGACCAGCAGAGACCTCTCTGGAGAGAGATCCAGAGAAAGCTTCTCTAGGTGCTGGCCCTGGGAGTGTGCCAGCTGAGCCCCCACCGTGGAACCACGGGGTCCACGGGAGGACAGGAATACAGGCCCCCCCCCACACCGGTGCAGGGGTTGGCAGCTGGGGCTTCCTCCCTGGGACTCCCCAGGCCACAAGCAGTCCCGAAGTGGCATTGGTCAGGGGTTGGCCCTCCAGGTAGCACAGCTCTGCCTCTTTCCAACACGGAGGCCTGTGAGGACTGTCCTCTCACAGCCCTGTGGGGTGCTGGTGGGGCACCTGGGTCCTCCCAGAAGAGGCATGACCAGCCTGAGATTTCCACGATGATGGACGGGCCAGGGCATCACCAAAGGGGCACCCTTGGCTTTCCGACCCTCCAGAACGGACACTGGATCCCAGTTCCTTTAAGGGACTCAGAACAAATAGCAATTCTCTCCCTGCCAACCACCAGTGCCCTCCGCTGGTGGGCTGCACCCCTGTGGTCTGTTTCCGTGGGGGCTCCTGGGCCCCATCCATCGTGGGTGGCTGGTCTGGCTCAGCTGAGCAAGATGGGCCAGGTGCTCCTCTGCTCCATCCTAAGCGCTCACAGCGAGGTCCTGGCCCTGGCTGGGCCCCAGGCCCCACCCCCAGCCTCCTCTGCAGGGCTCCAGCTCCAAAACCCGAGCCCAATCAGCCCCAGCGCCGACGATGGTGGTGGTATGAGGTCTGGTGCCTCAGCTCCGGTCAGACACCTCCCTGCTGCCCACGGTTTTCTCTCACCAGCCCTGTGCCCCCCACAGCACTGGACGGTGATGCAGAGACCTCTGGGGTTAGCAAAGATGCCGCCCAGAACGGGGACCAGGGCAGTGCCCTCCAGGAAGGAGCTGCGCAGGAATGCCAAGCCCTGCAGGCAGAGCTGCTCCCCCACGGACCCTGGAGCCCACAGACACCAGGTAGTGGGTCAGCAGCACAAGGGCAGCTCGAACAAAACACCTGTTTATTTCCTCGGAGGAAGAAGATGGGGTGTTTGGGGAGTTCCTGCCACAGTCTTTGTGCCACAAGGCAGGCAGACATCACTTCCAGAAGAGAACATTCCAGAAGAGCAGCCAGCAGGGGTAGAGGCCCAGCGCTAGCAGCGGGAAGAGCAGGGCGCCATAGATGTGGTGCTCCAGCACACCCTGGGCCAGCGCCGCCAGGAAGAGCTGCCAGCCCTCGGCCAGCGACAACGGGGCCTCTTGCAGCTCCCGCCACAGGAACAGGCTGCCCAGGAGCGTGGCTGCTGGACTTGTCAGCACCAGCAGGGCGGCATAGAGCGGCCTGGGGGGAGGAGCAGGGTCAGGGCTCTGAGCTGGGGGCACAGGCAGTAAGCTGGTGTGGAGAGGTACTGTATGAAGGCATAGTCTGTGGTGAGGGGCACAGGCCCTGGGGAAGGCAGGGGAGGGGCACAGGGGGTGGGGAGGGCCGCAGGGAGGCTGACCAGTACATACCGGGGCCCAGTGGGCTCAGTGAGAGCAGCAGCAGGCACCATGGTGGCGGCCAGCAGGAAGCCCAGGGAGAAGTTGGTGAGGGCGATGCAGGCCAGCTGGAGGGCCAGGTAGATCAGGGCTACCAGCTTCAAGGCCATCCAACCCCTGTCTGGGGCCTGTGAGCTCACCACACTGAAAGAGAAGGGGCTCAGAGGGAGCTACCTGTACTGCCAGGGTGCCCCTGCACAGCCCACCTGCCCCGCTCCTCACCGGTGGGCGTTGTGTGGAAGGGCCAGGCCGGCAGCGTAGATGGCCAGCAGCGTCAGCACCACAGCTTCAGCCTCGGCCACAGGGAAGTGCTGGGCGGCCACGTGCTGGCCCAGCACTGGCAAGACGTAGAGGGCCAGGCCCATGGCCTGTGAGATTAGCAGAGGTGCCACGAGGGAAGCCAGCCCCACGCCCTGCAGGGCACACAGGTGGTTGGAGATGGGCCCTGGGGCCAGGTGAGCCCAATAGTCCTCACCACCACCCAACAGCTGGGACGGAGTGGCAGCAGTAACCCCACCCACCCCCCCTTGACCCTAGAAGCCCAAACTGAGAGCAAGAGCTGACGGATGGTCACCTGTGCTGGGGGGAGGGGAGGACTGGGTCCAGAGGCTGCCCCAGCCTCCTTGGGGCCCACTCCAGCCTCATGCAGCTGCATCCACAGTTCCAGGGCGTGGCCTAGTCAAGGACTCTGACGAGGTGTGACGGGTCTGCCTGGTGGGGAACGCAGGGCTCCCCCCTGCCTCCCTCATCCCGAGGATGAGGGGCTCCCCCTTGCCTAGCGTGGGGGGGACCTGAGGGAGGCGGTCACAGGGGACTGTGGGGACGCAGAGGATATCTTGAGACCAAGGACCAGGAGCAGGAAGCCGGCAGCAGGCATGTAGAGGCCGATGGAGACGAAGCGGGAGAGGGCGGGGAGCAGGTAGAAGAAGAAGGACTGGTGCAGGCGCTCCAGAAGGTGGTTGAGCTTTCGGAACATGCCCTCCAGAGCCCTGCAGGGGAGCGACAAGGTCAAGGCTGGCCAGGGCCCGGCACCCCCATTACCCGCCCCCGAGCAGGGAAGGGGAGACCCAGAGCCACTTACTTGCCCACGGCCACCAGGTCATACTTATACTGGCGGAAGCTGTTGATGCCGCGCAGGGTGAGGGCCTCCACACGGTAGCGCAGGAAGAGGCCATGGGGGCCGTGGGGGCGGCCAGAGGCCTGCTGCAGGACCATGAGCAGCAGCGTCTGCAGACCCTGCAGCGGCCCGTCGACCGACGTCCAGTCCTGGGGCTGCAGCTTGGAGGGTTTGGAGCCGGTCAGACACCACCCTGCCCGCCACGGGCCCCGCCTCCCCAGGCAGGGGGCCCTACCTTCCCCTGCAGCGTGCACAGCAGCCCCCCTTTCTGGCAGAAGGTCTGGAAGAGGTTGAGCAGGTCAAGGTTGGGCAGCTGCCCATTGAGCCCCTCCACGGCCACGTCAAGGCTAGTGACCACATCGCTGTTCAGCTCCAGGGCCATGGCTGCCTGGATGGCCCCGGCCCGGCCCTGCAGAGGGGATGACTGCATGCCTGTGGGAGAGGTGAGTGAGCGGCCCCTGGGGGCTGGTGAGCCGGGGCGGGGCGAGGGAGAGGGGTAGGGAGAGAGGGCCCGGGAAGCGAGGGCACCCACCGGTGACGTTGACGTCGTGGTAGGCTTCCAGCCAGGCCTCGGTGCCCAGCAGGTCGTGCTCAGTCACCAGGAAGATGATGTCCTTGGCCCAGTAGATCTGCCCTGGGGGCCGGCGGCAGGGTCAGCAGCACCCGAGGCAGTGGCCAAGCCCTCCCTTTCCAGGGGTAGCCCAAGACTCACCCCGGAAGTGGGCGGCCAGTGCCAAAAGCAGCCCCACCGCCTGGCTGTTGGGAGAGTCGGGGCCGCAGGGCACAGTGAGCACCAGAGACTCGGTGCTGGCGGCGCGGGGGGCCCGCAGGATGCCGTACACGTTGGTGCCCGACACCATCTGCAGGCGGGATGGGCGGGGCGGCCTCAGCAACACCGTCCCGAGGTCCCCCGGCCCCGACCCACAAGGTGCTCCCTGGTCCCGGGCTCCCCGGCCCCCAGTACGTAGCGCTCGTGGGTCTCATCTGGAAAGGGCAGTGTCCGGGAGAAGCTCTGAGTGTAGACCTCCAGCCCCACGGCCCGCATCGTCCGCTCCAGCCAGGCCACCGGCAGGGCCCTGCGCACAGACACTCCGGTAGGACCTGGCCCCGCGCCCCCGCGCCCCCCTCCCCGGGCTCCGCCGCTCACCCCAGCTTCCGACGCTGGGCCGCGAAGTCGCGGGCAAAGGCGCGGGCGCGGTCCCCGCCCGCGAACTGCTCCTCCACCATGGTGGAGCCCATGGCGTTCTCCGACATGTAGGTGCGCTGGGTCAGCGGCGGGAAGGCCAGCGCGAGGAACCAGGCGATGCCCGCCGCATAGCTCAGCGCGCTGCGGGGAGAGGCCGGGAGACGGCGTCAGGGGCCCGGGGGCCCGGGGGCTCGGCCGCCCTCCTCCTCCTCCCGGGCCGAGGGGAGTATCTGCGGGGCCTGGGAGCGGATCCCGCACCGCACCGGGCGGCAGTGCTGGGCCCCAGGGAGGCCCCGGCGCCCGCAGCCGGAGCGGGGCCGGAGCTCGAACCCCGGCCTCGGGCCCGCCCTCACCAGAGCGGCGCATTGAGGCGCAGAACCAGGCGGACGAGCGCGCGGCGGCGCACCGGGTCCGACAGGAGGCCCATGGCGGGCGGGGCGGCTCGGGCCGCGTTCCCGCTGCCGCCGGCCGGGGGCCCGTTCCGAACACACGCCGGCTCCGCGCCGCCCCGCTTCCGGTCAGGGCGGCCCTCGCGCAGCCGCGCATGCGCAGTGCCCGCCCTCCGGCCCGCCCGCAGAGGGGGCGGGGCTCCGGGCCGCAGCGGCCGGCGCGGAGGAGGACCGCCCCGCCCAGGCCTGGGAAGGCTGGGCCCGCAGAGAAGGTGCTGGATTAGGCCGTTGCGTGGAAAACCCAAGGCTCTATTGGGCATGGCAGGGCGGATGCCGGTGGGTGGGGGCTTCTGGGGACCGAGGCCAAGGCTTTGGCACACTCATGCCTATGGCTGTCAGTCCCAACAAGGCGGTGGGTACCCAAGCGGACTCATCAGGTGAGCCCAGCACTGAGGTCATGGGGTCAAAGGCCACAGGAAGGTGCAGATGGCATTCCTAGCCAAGACGGGTTTCAGAGGGGGGGGTTGCCTCCAGGTCCGGAGGTGCCTGGGATTTTAGGGGAAAAGCGGCCTCTGGGGCTGCAGGGCTGGTGGCTGGGGCTCAGGCAGGTCTGAGAGCAGGAGGGAGAGGAAGAGGGTAGTGTCTGTGTCCCACTGACGGTGGTAGAGCTGAGGAGACAAAGCTCCAGGTGAGAACATTTGTCTGCTGTGCTTTGGGAGCCCAAGGTCAGGCCCAGAGTTCTTAGGGGGAAAGGGGCCATTTAGTGTAAGCCACACTCCCTGGGATGTGGGACATGGCCCCCAGACCTCCATGGTGGGTAACAGCCAGCTGCGTCTCCCTCAGCCCTTGAGCTCAGGGATCTGCATGGGCCGGGCAGACAGACCCCATGTCTAATGGCTGACTCATCGGCTGCCTTGAACCCTTCTGGGCATAAGCTGCTCTCTCCACCCGGGACACACTCCCCCCACCTTCTTCAGGATCTGAATTCTGAGGCTGTAAGAGGGACGTGGTTCATGTGGGTAGGGCCCCTAGTCACCTCCACGAGCCGGCACAGGCCAAGCTCTGGGAGAAGGAACGCCTGTGGGGATGGAAGTACGGCGTGTGGATTTTATTCTGGGCACAGGTGGCAGGGTGCTCAGTCCCCCAACAAGACAGAGGCCTCACGTACATGCTGCCGAACCACTCGGTCCAACAGGGTGTGCACGTCTCGGGCAGCCCGGGCGGCGGCCTCTAGCACCCGCTCCAGGTGGTCCTCGTGCAGCCTGGCATCCATCTCTAGCAGTGCGATCTGGCCTGAGGCTGGCAGCAGGGCCAGGGCCAGCTGGGGGCCACCAGCTGCTTCCTCCACGTGGCTGAGGTCCGCCAGGGCTGTGCCGTCCACAAAGCCCGCTGAGCAGGCACACACAAAGTCCCGCATCGGTATCCCGGCATCCAGCACCGCCAGCGTGGCTGCGTTCACACAAGCCGCGTAGGTCCCACCGTCTGCCTGCAGCACCTGCGGGAGCCCCACCACAGTGGCATAAGTTCCTCAGGCTGCCCACCCTTGCCCACCCTCACGCCCTCCAGCTCCCTCCTCTCCCCAGGGTGCGGCTGCTGCCTGCTCACCTGCACGTAGATGTCGATCTGGGAGCGTGGGTGCAGCTGCGTGAGGATGGCTGCCTCGAAGGTCTGCCGCAACTGCAGGCCCATCTCGCAGGACTTCCGGTCCCCGTGCGGCCGCCGCTTGTGCTCCCCGGTGCTGAAGGTTGCGGAGCTGTACTGACAGTTCACCAGGGCCCTGTCCGGGAGGGCTCGAGACCGGGAGCCCCGGATCTGAGGGAGAAAGGACGAATGAGCCAGGCCCGCTCCTCCCAGCTGACACCACGCCTTCCTCCGGCCCAGGTCCCAAACCTCGGCCTCCCCCACCTCCCTCCAACATCTCTACAAGCGCAACTACTTGACCTCAAACACAGAGGGCCACGAGAACAATCTGGGCCTTAACTCTCTTTACAAGCCTCCCTGATTCCGTCCTTGCCTCATCCCCTCCAAACGCGTTTTTCACTTGGGGCCAGTCTGTTTACAAATACCGAGTCTGAATCTGTCTCCTCTATACAGTCACCCCCACCCCCCTCCTCCAAAGGCTTCTCACCAGATAAAATCCAAAACCTTTTCCCTGGTCTACAAAGCCCCGAGATCGTGCTTCCCTGAAACCCCTCAATCTCATTTGGAATTATTCTCCTTCTCCCCCACCGGCAGCCTTTCAGCTCTGCAAAGACGCCCGCCCTGCTTGTCTCCACTCTCTCTGGCCTTTCCCCTCCAAGTTCCCGCCCCCGGAAAGCGGGGCTCCCAGACGCACGCGTTGGGCGAACATTTCTCCGGTGCCTGTGCTAAACACCGGCGATGAAGCCGGGGTGTGTGTGTGGGGGTGTTATTTAAAGCCCCAGTGCTTACGGAGCTTATGTCAATGCGAGACAAAGAGTGAGAAGGAGAAATGAAACTGGTGTCTGCGGTGACAGGTGCAGAAAGGCAGGGGAGCGTGCGTGCCACTGCGTGGCTGGAGGGGACAGGGCTCCGCGCGTGGATGAGGGCGCCTGGGGAGGTGCGGCCCGGACGGTGAAGTCGGAGTAGAGAGCGGAGGGCCCAGAGGGAGCGCTGAGGCTTGGAGGAAGAGGAGGGGAGGGCGCAGGGGGCAGAGGCCGATGGAGAAGGCAGGGACCCTCTCGCGCATCCCAGGACTCGGGCTTTCCCTCGGATGGAGCCGCGCCCACCCCCGCAGGGCGTCCGGCCCGCGCGGCCCACTCGCCTCGTGCGGCCCGTAGACCACGGCCAGCGCCTTGGTGTTGCCCTGCTCGATGTAGGCCGAGCCGTCGGCCTGCGAGAACACGCCCATCCGCGCCTGGATCTTGCGCAGCTCCCCGGCGCGCCGGCCGTCCACCCGGTAGCCCTGGTCCGAAAGGAGCTCTAACCCCGCCATGCCGCCGCGCCGCCAAACCGGCTCCGCCTCCAGAGAACTACAGTTCCCAGCGCAGAGACACCCACTCCAGACCCGGCGAGGTCTACCGCTTCCGGCGGTCCGGCTCTCCACTTCCTGCCCCAGAGAACTACGGTTCCGGGAAACCCTCGTCCCCACTTCCGGCCTCTGAGAACTACAATTCCCAGCGGCACCACTTTCCTCACTTCCGGTTCCGGGGAGCTTGGCCAGTTCCGGGCCGCCGAGCTGGAGGCCCGCGGGGACAGGCTTCCCCGTTCCCTCGCCGGCCTGGTCGCCCGCGAAGGGCTCGTCCCCTTTCGGGCCTGGGAGTCCCCTTGGCGGTTCGCAGGCGCAAATACATCTATTTGCCCACGAAACACACGTTCTCTTACCATTTAGTATTTGCCTTTGTTCATTTGAAAATAGACATATGTGCCCTAGCTGGTCTGGCTCAGTGGGTAGAGCTTAGGCCTGTGGTCTGAAGGGTCGCAGGTTCGATTCCGGTCAAGGGTACAAGCCTGGGTTTCCGGCTTGATCCCCAGTAGGGGGCGTGCAGGAGGTAACCAATCAATGATTCTCATCATTGATGTTTCTCTCCCTCTCCCTTCCTCTCTGAGGTCAATAAAAATATATATAAAAAAAAGACTCATGATTTTATTATGCATACACTAGTGATCCGTGCATATTAAAAGGGGATTAATTAGAGGAAATAATTTAATATTGCTATTTGCCCTTTCTCTATAATAGAAGTGTCAGAGGTGAAAGAAAAGTAGTAAAATGTATATGAAAACCTTCCTCCTGTCAAAGTCTGGGGCGCACCATGGGACCCAGAGTCAAGTCCCCGCCCTCCCACATGCACCTCAAAATCGTGTGAGACTCAGACCCAGCTGGTCCTCCCCATTGGGCTGGATCCAGACCCCGCCAGTCCCATGCTGGTCAAGCCCTGCCAGGCAGGGGGTGTAGCTTCAGGTCCCCTGGCCAGGCACTGGGGGAGGGGGCATTTCAACCTGAGATCCCCCAGATTTACACCGGGGCGGGGGGGTGCTGCCTGAGGTCCCCTGTCAAGCCCCACAGGGACAGGGGAGGGCGTAGCCTCAGGTCCCTACTGATTGCTCGTTAAGGCTCCTTATGGGAACTTGGCCTCAGCTGTGGGTGCAGCCATATTTGTGATGCAGTAATGGTCAATTAGCATATTTCCTCTTTATTAGATAGGATGTGGTCACATTTTAATTTTTTTAATACATTTTTATTGATTTCAGAGAGGAAGGGTGATTGAGCGATAGAAACATCAATGATGAGAGCCAGGACCGGTTTGGCTCAGTGGATAGAGCATCAGCCTGCGGACTGAAAGGTCCCGGGTTCGATTCTGGGCAAGGGCATGTACCTTGGTTGCGGGCACTTTCCCAGTAGGGGACGTGCAGGAGGCAGCTGATCGATGTTTCTAGCTCTCTATCCCTCTCCCTTCCTCTCTGTAAAAAATCAATAAAATATATTTTTTTAAAAAATACATAACCAAGTGACCATTTCTATAAAAAAAAAAAAAAAAAAAAAGAATTACTTCCCAAGTATTGGAACCTTTAAAATTGTCATTTTTTTCATTGGGATTAAGTGCAGTTGTCCCTTAGTCGCCTGAAACACGGCTCTCAGAGGCTTCCCCCCCGAGTCAGCAACAGTAAGAACTCCCCAAGAGGTCGCCGTGCCACACCGGAGGCCATTGGTCGCCGTGCCACACCGGAGGCCATTGGTCGCCGTGCCACACGGAGGTCACTGTGCCACACGGAGGTCACCGTGCCACACGGAGGTCGCCGTGCCACACTGGAGGTTGCCATGCCACACTGAAGCCGCAGGGAAGGCACAGGCAAATCCCACCCGCACCTGCTAGGTGAGTGCGAACCTCACTGAGCAGACCAGCGAGAAGGACCTAGGATGTACAATAAGCAGTGATTGAATAAATACAATAAAATGAAGTAAAATAACCAAAATGCAAGGAAAGGCCTCAAACGGGAGCTGCACAGAACGGCCCCAGAGGAGGACAGACCACGTGAGAGAAGGAGTCCTTCACGCTTGGTGAACCGTCGGCCCAATCGCTGACCTTGGGGTGGCTCCCGGACCTGAGAGCCTGCCGTCCTCAGACCTCTTGTAGGGCCTGCCTGTGGATCGCCCCAAGACTGGGGCCCTGAACATGGGGCCTCTTACAGGGTGCCTGCACCCCTGTAACAAACACCCCACAGCCTGGCACAGGTGGGTGGGGACCTGGGAGTGGTGGCCAGTGAGTGGCCAGATGAGCAGGTGGGCTGGCTGGCTCTCTACCCCCCTCCCTGCAACTCGGTGCTGGGCTGAGACGAAGAAACTTGTCACCCCAGCTGGTGTGGTTCAGTGGATAGAGCACCAGCCTGTGGACTGAAAGGTCCTGGGTTCAATTCCGGTCAAGAACACATGCCCAGGTTGCAGGCTCCTTCCCCAGTAAGGGGCATGCAGGAGGCAGCCAAGATCAATGATTCTATCAATTGATGCTCCTCTTTTTCCCACTCCCTCTCTTTTTCTCTGGAATCAATACACATATATTAAAGAAGAGAAGCTTCTGTTTTCCAGGAGGGTTCTTCCTCAGGGACCCCAAGGCCAGGGCGGGACCCCGCTAGCCATTTGGCGGTGGTTTCTGTGCCGCTCCAGGTGGCTGGAATCGCTGGGCCTGGCCCCGAGCCCCGGAATGCCCGGGGCCGCGGAGACAGGGGGGCGCTGACCTCACAATGGCGCCTCTGCGTCCCTGGCTGCCCGCTGCCGCTGGGAGCTGCTGCCCTCCCGGCCCCCAACGATGCCAGGCACGTCCCTCCTCAGCAGCTACGAGGGCCTGCGGCAGGAGATCCAGCGGCTGGCCCAGGAGAACGAGGAGCTGCGGAAGCTGGTGCAGCTGATCCAGGAGAACCAGGAGCTGAAGCTGGTGCTGCGGAACCGCGGCAGCAGCCTGAGCTTCCACGGCTCCGAGCTCCTGGCCGCCGAGGTGGCCTCCAGCCCCCGGCCGCCCCGGCGCAGGAACATCAATCTCTTGGATGCCCAGAGAGGTGAGCCGCGCAGGCGTGCAGGGGCGGGACCAGGGGCCCTGCGGGCGTTCCTCATTCGGCTTCTGCCAAGACAGAAGGAGGGAAACCGCCCGCCGGCCTGGCTCAGAGGTTGGGCATTGACCTATGAACCACCAGGAGGTCAGGGTTCCATTCCAGGTTTGGGGCTCAATCCCCAGTAGGAGGCATGGACGAGGCACTCATCAGTCATTCTCATCATTGAAGTTTCTATCTTTCCCTCTCCCTCCCTCCCTAAAATTATTTATATATACCGTATCCCTGACCGGTTTGGCTCAGTGGATGGAGTGCCGGCCTGCGGACTGAAGGGTCCCAGGTTCGATTCCGGTCAAGGGCATGTACCTTGGTTGCAGGCGCATCCCTGGTAGGAGGTGTGCAGGGGGCAGCTGATCGATGTTTCTAGCTCTCTATCCCTCTCCCTTCCTCTCTGTAAAAAAAAAAAAAATCAGTTGAAAGAGAAAGAAAAGGAAAAGGAAGCGGGATCCACGTGGCTTGTAGGTTTTGGCCAGGCGCTGCAGGTGGACGGGGACCACAGGCCTCACCACGCTAGGGAGGCCTCTGGCCCTACAGGTCCAGGGGAGGGAACCGGACAGCCAGGGTCCGGCTGCCTGTCGCTGCTGCAGCCGGCTGAGCAGAGGCCGGCCGGGGCGAGTCCCGGATGAGTTTTATCCCAGTCCTGCCGGCAGCGTGGGGAGAGCAGGCCCCCACAGACCCAAACGGTGGCTGACTGGGCGGAGGAGGGAGGGGAGGGAGGTTACAGGGGAGCAGGACCGACAGCCAGGGGAGCAGGCCAGGGGCCGGGGCGGGACGAGGGTGGGGCAGCCAGGGTGGTGTTCTTCCCCTGATAGACGGTTCCTGAAAGGGGATGGACCCAACTCCCAGGCTGCGCCCGGTTCCCGGTCCGAGGCTGCCCCCCTGGTCCGAGGCTGCCCCTGGGCCGAGGCTGCCCCCGCCCCCCGGGTGGGGGCTGTACTCCCAGCCGCTCAGCGTGTCCTCTCTTTAACCAGAACTGTCAAGCACGGCTCAGGGGCCATGATTAGTGTTTCCCAAACCACCGCTGGTCCCAGATATCCGATTTCTGCCCCCGAGGGGGACGCGGGTGGGTGCGTGGGAGGCGCCAGGCCCGGGGCCAAGGCGCCCGGGGCCAGGCCGCAGGGGAGGGGAGGAGCCGGGCGCCGCTGGGGAGGCCCCCGCCCACTGCTGTCCCGGGTGGCCGGCCGCCAGGGCAGAGGCAAATCCGGGCAGGTCGAGCCTGACGCAACGGAGCCGGCGCCGGGACTGGTGGTGCGGGGGGCGGGCCGGCTTCCGGGCCGAGCGGGTGGGGCCGGGCGTGCACCGGGACGAGGGGAGAGACCGCAGCCGCCGGCCAGGTGGGTCCCGCAGCCATCGGACCTGCGTGTCCTCCCGCCGCGCGCTCCCCTCCTCCCTGCCGCTCCCCCGCCCCGCGCTGCGCGGGCGCCGCCTGGTCCGGTCCGGTCCGTCCTGTCCCACAGGCCTGGGGACGAAGGTCACACCCCTGGGAAGCAGAGCTCCCCTCCCGCCGCCTGGTGCGACTGAGACAGGACCCCAGGCCCAGGGCTCCCCTGACAGGCCTGCTGCAGGCCCCAACCCAGCAGCGAGGTGGGGGGGCATTAGGCCTGCACCCCAACCTGCTCAGGCTGCCCTCTGACCTGGTCCTGCAGCTCTGCCTCCTCCCAGACCTGGATGCCCTCCCCGCTGCCCCCCTGAGGGTGCCCCCTCCCCGCTCTGCCCCCCTGAGGGTGCCCCCTCCCCGCTCTGCCCCCCTGAGGGTGCCCCCTCCCCGCTCTGCCCCCCTGAGGGTGCCCCCTCCCCGCTCTGCCCCCCTGAGGGTGCCCCCTCCCCGCTCTGCCCCCCTGAGGGTGCCCCCTCCCCGCTCTGCCCCCCTGAGGGTGCCCCCTCCCCGCTCTGCCCCCCTGAGGGTGCCCCCTCCCCGCTCTGCCCCCCTGAGGGTGCCCCCTCCCTGCTCTGCCCCCCTGAGGGTGCTCCCTCCCCGCTGCCCCCCTGAGGGTGCCCCCTCCCTGCTCTGCCCCCCTGAGGGTGCCCCCTCCCCGCTGCCCCCCTGAGGGTGCCCCCTCCCCGCTGCCCCCCTGAGGGTGCCCCCTCCCCGCTCTGCCCCCCTGAGGGTGTCCCCTCCCCGCTCTGCCCCCGCTGACCCCTGCCCTCTGTCCAGTGCTCCCAGGTCTGCAGCCTGAGGAGGCCCCGCTGGAGCCCAGCCCCGGCGCCATGGGCAGCCCCGAGGGCCGCTTCCATTTTGCCATCGACCGCGGAGGCACCTTCACGGACATCTTCGCCCAGTGCCCGGGGGGGCACGTGCGGGTGCTGAAGCTGCTCTCCGAGGACCCCGCCAACTACGTGGACGCCCCCACGGAGGGCATCCGCCGCGTCCTGGAGCAGGTGGGGCCGCGGCGGGCGGGCGGGCGGGCGGGCGGGCGGGCGGGCGGGGCCGGAGGCCTGACCCGGGCCGTTCCCAGGAGGGGGGCGTGCTGCTGCCGAGGGACCAGCCGCTGGACACCAGCCGCATCGCCAGCATCCGCATGGGCACCACCGTGGCCACCAACGCTCTGCTGGAGCGGCAAGGCGAGCGGGTGGCGCTGCTGGTCACCCGCGGCTTCCGGGACCTGCTGCACGTGGGCACCCAGGCCCGCGAGGACCTCTTCGACCTGGTGAGCCCGCCGCCGCCGCCGCCGCCCGGGCCTCGGGGCGGGCCACCCGGGAAGGGCAGTGCCGGCCCACGGCCAGCAGCTGAGAGGCAGAGAGGCAGCTGGGAGTGCTCCCAGCATTCAGGCCCAGGGGTGAGGCGCCCGCACCAGCCTGTTCCCGGCGGGGGAAGGCGGGAAGTTGGCCACGGTTCACTGCCTGCTGCCGGGCAGGGAGCAGCCGCCTGGGTGGGCCGTGCTGGGGCCGCCCCCTCCGACTGCCTCCTGGGCCTGTCGGGGCGTATGTCCTTGCCTGCACTGCCCACCGAGGCAGGCCCGCAGCAAGGACCCTCAGGCCCAGGCCCCCTCTGAGCCTCTGCCGCCCGCAGGCCGTGCCCATGCCCGAGAGGCTGTACGAAGAGGTGCTGGAGGTGGATGAGCGGGTGGTGCTGCATCGCGGGGAGCCAGGCTCCGGGACGCCCGTCAGAGGTGCGTGCCTCGCCCCGCCCGGCCGGGTGGCTCAGTGGATAGAGTGTCCGCCTGCGGACTGAAGGGTCCCGGGTTCGATTATGGTCAAGAGCACATGCCCGGGTTGTAGGCTCCATCCCCAGGAGGCAGCGGATCCATGATTCTCTCTCATCATAGATGTTTCTCTTTCCCCCTCTCCCTCCCTCTCCCTCCCTCTCTGAAATCAATTTAATATATATATATATAATTTTTTTTTATTTTTTTTTTTAAGAAAAGGTGTGTGCCTGCAGCCCTAGCCAGAGTGGCTTAGTAGATAAGAGTGTTGGCCTGCAGACCCAAGGGTCCCAGGTTCCCTCCCGGTCAAGGTCAAGGGCATGTACCTCCCTGGCCTGGGCCTTGGTCGGGGTTTCATGCATTAGACAACCAATCAGTGTGTTTCTCTCTTTTCCCCTCTTCCGCTGTCCCTCACCGTCCGTGGAGGGAGATCCCGGGTGAGGTCTGTCTAAGAAAGCAAAAGGGTGTGGGTCGGCGCTGGGCTCGGCGGCGAGGCCCGGGCCTCTGATGGGCGAGGGGCTTCCTTGCAGGCTGCACGGGGGACCTGCTGGAGGTGCAGCGGCCGGTGGACCTGGGGGCCCTGCGTGGGGAGCTGGAGGGGCTGCTGGCCCGCGGCATCCGCAGCCTGGCCGTGGTCCTCATGCACTCCTACACGTGAGTGCCTGCGCGGGGCAGGCGCCTCCCTGCTGACAGGCCTGCTCCAGGCCCTGGGCGTGGGGGAGGGCGGGCCTGGCGCCCCAACCTGCCCAGCCCTGGCCCTGCCTCAGGCTGCCCTCTGAGCCTGGCCTGCAGCTCTGCCTCCTCCCAGACCCGGACGCCCTCCCCGCCTGCCCCCGCCCCTGGGGGCGCGGCCGGCGGAGGCGACGGGCGGGACAGTGCGGGTCCTCCTCACAGGTGGGCCCAGCACGAGCAGCAGGTGGGCGCGCTGGCCCGGGAGATGGGCTTCACGCAGGTGTCGCTGTCCTCGGAGGCCATGCCGATGGTGCGCATTGTGCCGAGGGGGCACACGGCCTGCGCCGACGCCTACCTCACACCTGCCATCCAGCGCTACGTGCAGGGCTTCTGCCGTGGCTTCCAGGGCCAGCTCAAGGTGAGCCCGCCCGCTCCAGCCCCCTCCGGACACCCCGGCCCCTCCCCCCTCCCCCTTCCCCCTCCCCGCCTGCTCTCCCCCCCCTCCAGCCCCCTACCGAACACCCCGGCCCCTCACCCCTCACCTGCTCCCCCCACCCCCGCTCCAGCCCCCTACCGGGCACCCCGGCCCCTCACCCCTCACCTGCTCCCCCCACCCCCTCTCCAGCCCCCTACCGGGCACCCGGCCGCTCACCCCTCCCCCCTCACCGCCTGCTCCCCCCCAGGACGTGCAGGTGCTGTTCATGCGCTCGGACGGCGGCCTGGCGCCCATGGACGCCTTCAGCGGCTCCCGCGCGGTGCTGTCCGGCCCGGCTGGGGGTGTGGTCGGCTACTCCACCACGACCTACCGCGCCGAGGGCGGCCAGCCCGTCATCGGCTTCGACATGGGAGGTACGGGGCCGAGGGCCGAGCCCTCCTCCCGGGGGAGGCCAGCAGCCGGGCGGCCGGGCTCACCGCCGGCTCCCCCAGGCACGTCCACCGACGTGAGCCGCTACGCCGGCGAGTTCGAGCACGTCTTCGAGGCCAGCACGGCCGGCGTCACCCTCCAGGCCCCCCAGCTGGACATCAACACGGTGGCCGCGGGCGGGGGCTCCCGCCTCTTCTTCAGGTCAGTCTCCCCCATCCCCGGCCGGACCCTGCCCTGCCCGCCCCCTCCAATTCCCGTCTCCCTCCCCAAGGTCCGGCCTGTTTGTGGTGGGGCCCGAGTCTGCAGGAGCCCACCCCGGCCCCGCCTGCTACCGGAAAGGTAAGGTCTGGAGCCCCCCGGCAGGGCCCCCCCCGCTGCTGGGCCACCCACCTCCCCGCTGCCCGGCCACCCACCTCCCCCACTGCCGGGCAACCCACCTCCCCGCTGCCAGCCCACCCACCTCCCCACTGCCGGGCCACCCACCTCCCCCACTGCCCGGCCACCCACCTCCCCCGCCACCCACCTCCCCCACTGCCGGGCCACCCACCTCCCCGCTGCCAGCCCACCCACCTCCCCACTGCCGGGCCACCCACCTCCCCCACTGCCCGGCCACCCACCTCCCCCACTGCCCGGCCACCCACCTCCCCCGCCACCCACCTCCCCCACTGCCGGGCCACCCACCTCCCCGCTGCCAGCCCACCCACCTCCCCACTGCCGGGCCACCCACCTCCCCCACTGCCCGGCCACCCACCTCCCCGCTGCCAGCCCACCCACCTCCCCACTGCCGGGCCACCCACCTCCCCGCTGCCAGCCCACCCACCTCCCCACTGCCGGGCCACCCACCTCCCCCACTGCCCGGCCACCCACCTCCCCCGCCACCCACCTCCCCCACTGCCGGGCCACCCACCTCCCCGCTGCCAGCCCACCCACCTCCCCACTGCCGGGCCACCCACCTCCCCCACTGCCCGGCCACCCACCTCCCCGCTGCCCGGCCACCCACCTCCCCGCTGCCCGGCCACCCACCTCCCCCGCTGCCGGGCCAACCACCTCCCCCGCCACCCACCTCCCCTGCTGCCCGGCCACCCACCTCCCCGCTGCCCGGCTACCCACCTCCCCGCTGCCCCCCACCCACCTCCCCGCTGCCCGGCCACCCACCTCCCCCGCTGCCCCCCACCTCCCCGCTGCCCGGCCACCCGCCGCCCCGGCCAGGCCCCTGCTCCCACGTCTGGCCCCCGACTGCAGCCCCCGCCCCGCCCTGCACGCCTCCAGGGGGCCCCTTGACGGTGACGGATGCTAACCTGGTTCTGGGCCGCCTGCTGCCGGCCTCCTTCCCCTGCATCTTTGGGCCGGGAGAGTGCCAGCCGCTGTCCCCCGAGGCCTCCCGAAAGGCCCTGGAGGCCGTGGCCGCCGACATCAACAGCTTCCTGACCGAGGGGCCGAGCCCCGCGGCCCCGCTGAGCCTGGAGGAGGTGGCCATGGGGTTTGTGCGCGTGGCCAACGAGGCCATGTGCCGGCCCATCCGCGCCCTCACGCAGGTGCGCCGCCCGCCCGCCCGGCCCCGCCCACTCGGGCACCCCCTGGGGGTGAGGGGTCAGGGGTCAGGAGGTGAACAGGGTAGGCTAAGCCCCTGACCCTCTTCTGGCTCCCTAGGCACGAGGTCACGACCCCTCAGCGCACGTGCTGGCCTGCTTCGGAGGGGCTGGCGGGCAGCATGCCTGTGCCATCGCCCGGGCCCTGGGCATGGACACTGTGTACATCCACAGGTGAGCCTGGGCCCGGGGCACGGGGCCGCGGAGCGGGGACTGCCCGGGAGGCTCCCCTCACCGCCCTGTGGCCCGTCTCCGCAGGCACAGCGGGCTGCTGTCGGCACTGGGGCTGGCGCTGGCCGACGTGGTGCACGAGGCCCAGGAGCCCTGCTCCCTGCCCTACGCGCCCGAGAACTTCCTGCAGCTGGACCAGCGGCTGCGCCGGCTGGAGGAGCAGTGCATAGTCGCCCTGCGGGCCCAGGGCTTCCCCAGGTGGGGTCCTGGGGGCGGGGCGGGTGGGGCGGGGCTGGCCCAGGGCTCGCAGCATCCCAGGTACCCGCACACCGCGGCCCCTGAGTGTGGCTCTTCCACAAAACACCCCGGCCTGGGAGAGGCTGTTTTGAAGAGGTGGCGTTAGAAGTTTAAAAAATGTGGCTCTCAAAAGAAATTTCAATCGTTGTGCTGTTGGTATTTGGCTCCGCGGACGAGTGAGTTTGCTGCTCCAGCCTGTTCAGCTCCTGGCTTCCCCAACGGTGCCGTCCCCCGGCTTCGGGGAGGCAGGGACTGGGAGGCTGGCGGGCGGAGGTGGGACCGGCGTCCTGGCAGGTGCCTGTGTGAGGGTCCTGCCCGTGCCCCCGCAGGTCCCAGATCCACACCGAGACCTTCCTGCACCTGCGCTACCAGGGCACGGACTGCGCCCTGATGGTGTCCGCCCACCAGCACCCGGCCACCGCCCGCTCGCCCCGTGCTGGCGACTTCGGGGCAGCCTTCGTGGAGAGGTACGCAGCTGGGGGCCTGGGCGCCCTGGAGGCCCCGATGCGGCCTGGCCGCCTGCCCTGACCGCCCCCTCCCTCCCTGGGCCCGGCCGCCTGCCCTGACCGCCCCCTCCCTCCCTGGGCCCGGCCGCCTGCCCTGACCGCCCCCTCCCTCCCTGGGCCCGGCCGCCTGCCCTGACCGCCCCCTCCCTCCCTGGGCCCGGCCGCCTGGCCTGACCGCCCCCTCCCTCCCTGGGCCCGGCCGCCTGCCCTGACCGCCCCCTCCCTCCCTGGGCCCGGCTGCCTGGCCTGACCGCCCCCTCCCTCCCTGGGCCCGGCCGCCTGTCCTGACCGCTCCCTCCCTCCCTGGGCCCGGCCCCCTGTCCTGACCGCGCCCTCCCTCCCTGGGCCCGGCCGCCTGGCCTGACCGCTGCCTCCCTTGGCCACTTGGCCTGACCGCGCCCTCCCTCCCTGGGCCCGGCCGCCTGGCCTGACCGCGCCCTCCCTCCCTGGGCCCGGCCGCCCCCTCCCTCGGCCTGGGCGCAGGTACATGCGGGAGTTCGGCTTCGTCATCCCCGAGCGGCCGGTGGTGGTGGACGACGTGCGGGTGAGGGGCACCGGCCGCAGCGGCCTTCGCCTGGAGGACGTCGCCAAGACCCAGGCGGGGCCCCCCCGGGTGGACAAGGTCAGCGGCCCTCCATGCACCCCCACCTACGCCCTCGGGGACACGGGAGGCGGGGATGGGGAGGCTGGGGCGGGACGGTGCTGGGCCTGGGGACCTCCTCACCCCACCCTCCTCAGGTGACCCAGTGCTACTTTGAGGGGGGCTACCAGGAGACCCCGGTCTTCCTGCTGGGAGAGCTGGGCCATGGGCACAAGCTCCAGGGGCCCTGCCTGATCATCGACAGCAACAGGTAGGCGGAGGCCCGGCCAGGCCGGGCCTGGGGGTGTGGGTCGAGGCCACCGCTGTGCGGGCAGGGCAGGGGGTTCTCGGCCTGAGGCTGCAGGGGTCTGAAGGATGCTAGGGTCCCATGAGGTGGGACCCCGGCCTGGGGAAGCGAGGCTCCTGGTTGGGATGGGGTCTGGCTTGGCCCCTCCAGCCCCCTGCACCTCTGCGCCCCTGCCCCCAGCACCATCCTGGTGGAGCCAGGCTGCCAGGCGGAGGTGACCGAGACCGGGGACATCCGCATCTCCGTGGGGGCCGAGACCCTCGGCACGGTGGGCGCCCAGCTCGACCCCATCCACCTGTCCATCTTCTCACACCGCTTCATGAGCATCGCGGGTGAGTGCCGTGCCGCGGTCCGCCGGCCTGCTCCCCGTGTCCGGTGCGGGGTCTGCCGACCGGGCAGAGGCGGTGCCCAAAGTGGTGCCGGGGAAGAGGCCGAAGCAGGATTGGGACGTGACAGGGCGAGCCGCGTGGCCCTGGCTCTGAGGGCACCGCCGCCCTGCACCCGCCGGCCGCGGGCAGAGCGTGCCTCCCTCCCAGCACCTCTGGTTGGGGGCAGGAAGCGGGCTCTGCATCTGAGCAGGGCAGGCCAGGGGCCCAGGCTCTTGCTGGGGCTCCAGGCAGCAGTGGGGGCGGGCGAGACATGGCCGCCTTTGGGTCCTGGTTCAGGGACCTGGGTCCCGCCACCCCCCGGGGGGTGGAGTTGAGGCTGAGCTGGGCCAGCAGCACCCCACCCCCCACCTCCGGGCGGGCTGAGGGTGAGCTGGGCCAGCAGCACCTGCACCCCCATCCCCGGGGTTAGAGCTGAGGGTGAGCTGGGCCAGCAGCACCCCCCCACCCCCGGGCGGGCTGTGGGTGAGCTGGGCCAGCAGCACCTGCACCCCCACCGCTGGGCGGGCTGAGGGTGAGCTGGGCCAGCAACACCCGCACCCCCATCCCCGGGGTTAGAGCTGAGGGTGAGCTGGGCCAGCAGCACCCGCACCCCCATCCCCGGGGTTAGAGCTGAGGGTGAGCTGGGCCAGCAGCACCCGCACTTGTTGCTCCAGAGCAGATGGGCCGCATCCTGCAGCGCACGGCCATCTCCACCAACATCAAGGAGCGCCTCGACTTCTCCTGCGCCCTCTTCGGGCCCGATGGGGGGCTGGTGTCCAACGCCCCCCACATCCCTGTGCACCTGGGCGCCATGCAGGAGACCGTGCAGTTCCAGGTCTGCCGGGCCCCCCTCCTGCCCTCTCACCCGCCTCACCACCCCACCCTGCCCCTTCCCGACCCCCTACCATGTCCTGGCTTCAGATCCAGCACCTGGGGGCTGACCTGCACCCTGGAGACGTGCTGCTGAGCAATCACCCCAGTGCCGGGGGCAGCCACCTGCCAGACCTGACGGTCATCACGCCAGTGAGAGCTCTGCCTGGGGCCGGGAGGGGGCCGGGAGCCGGGAGGGGGCCGGAGGCCATACAGCTGATGGCGGCTCTACACCCCTAGGTGTTCTGGCCGGGTCAGGCGCGACCTGTGTTCTACGTGGCCAGCCGCGGGCACCACGCAGACATTGGGGGCATCACGCCAGGCTCCATGCCCCCGCACTCCACCGCCCTGCAGCAGGAGGGCGCCGTCTTCCTGTCCTTTAAACTTGTCCAGGGAGGCGTGTTCCAGGAGGAGGGTGAGTGGGAGTAGCCTGGGGCCGGGCGATGGGGGCTCCGTGGGCTGCTTGCACTGGGCTGGCGCCGCGTCTGGGGGCTGCAGGCTCCTAGAAGGCTCAGGTCCACGTCGCTGGGTGGCGGGGCCGCGGCCGGCTGTGCCAGGCCTGGCCTGGTGCATGCCTGTCTGCCTGTGCCCCTGCCTGCGTGCAGAGTGGAGGGGTCCAAGGTGGCCCAGACCCTGGGCCAGGGGAGTGGGGAGGGGCCGCTGCAGTTACCCTGGGGGGTGCTGAGCCTTCTCCTGGGCAGGGAGGATAGAGAGGGAACAACAGTTGGAGGTCGGGGTTGGCATTTGATGGGATTTGGGGGTTGGAGGGGACAGTGGAGTCTGGCTGAGCGGGTTCGGAGCTGCTGCGGGGATGGTGGGACCGGGTGGCCTTGGGGCCCAGGAGGGAGGAGCAGCAAAGATGCTAACATGGGGCCCACAGTGCCCGGCAGGGGTGCAGCGGGGGAGAGCAGGGCACCAGGCTGCCCCCAGGCTTGGAGGCTAGCTCAGGGGTGAGTCCATCCGTCCGTCTGTCTGTCCAGCGGTCACGGAAGCCCTGCAGGCCCCAGGCAAGATCCCCGGCTGCAGTGGGACCCGGAACCTGCATGACAACCTGTCAGATCTTCGTGCCCAGGTGGCAGCCAACCAGAAGGGCATCCAGCTGGTGGGGGAGCTCATCGGGCAGTACGGCCTGGACGTGGTGCAGGCCTACATGAGCCACATCCAGGTGGGCCGTTCTGTGCCAGCCCCACGGTGGCAGCTGGGAGGGGAGGGGGTGCTCGGCCCACCGGGGAGGTGGCATGGCGGCCGCTAAACATACTCCCCGCCAGGCCAACGCGGAGCTGGCTGTGCGGGACATGCTTCGGGCCTTCGGGTCCTCCCGGCAGGCCCGGGGCCTGCCTCTGGAGGTGTCTGCGGAGGACCACATGGATGACGGCTCCCCCATCCGACTCCGCGTGCATATCAACCTGACTCAGGTCTGGCTGCCGGGCCCGGGGCCTGGGGCAGGGGGGGTGACGGTGGCATGGCCCCCTCCCTCGTCGCTGATGGCCTCTCCCTCTCCCCTCGGTGGGCAGGGCAGCGCCGTGTTTGACTTCAGCGGCACCGGGCCAGAAGTGTACGGCAACCTCAATGCCCCGCGGGCCATCACGCTGTCCGCCCTCATCTACTGCCTGCGCTGTCTGGTGGGCAACGACATCCCGCTCAACCAGGTGTGCAGGCACGTCCTGTGTGGGAGGCCGGCGGGTGGACCCTACGCCCCAGGCACCCTGAGCAAGCCCGGGGCAAAGGCAGCCGGATGGTCCTATGGGTGCTGCTGGCGGTGGTGGGGCATAGATCTCCCAGTTGACCCTGCGGGCGGCCCTCCCTGCGCAGGGCTGCCTGGTCCCGGTGCGCGTGGTGATTCCTAAAGGCTCCATCCTGGACCCCTCCCCGGAGGCGGCCGTGGTGGGCGGCAACGTGCTCACGTCGCAGCGCGTGGTGGACGTCATCCTGGGGGCTTTCGGGGCCTGCGCCGCCTCCCAGGTGCGGTGGGCGCCGGCGGGCTTGTTGTGGGGAGCGGGGACAGGAGGGCGGGGAGGCGGGGAGCGGACCGGGAGGCTTCCGCAGCCTCAGCGACCGCTCGTCCCGCCAGGGCTGCATGAACAACGTGACCTTGGGAAACGCGCACATGGGCTACTACGAGACCGTGGCGGGCGGCGCGGGCGCGGGCCCCGGCTGGCACGGGCGCAGCGGCGTGCACAGCCACATGACCAACACGCGCATCACGGACCCCGAGATCCTCGAGAGCAGGTGAGGGGCGGGGCGGGGCGTGGGAGCCGGGCCCGGATTGGTGAGCGGGGAGAGAGCGGAGACGAGGAGCCAGTCCTGGGTTGGTGGGTGTGGCGAGGGCGGGGCTTGGGAGCCGGATTGGTGAGCCGGACGGGGGCGGAGGCGAGGAGCCAGTCCTGGGTTGGTGGGCGGGACGGGGGCGGAGACGAGGAGCCAGTCCTGGGCTGGTGGGCGGGGCGTGGGGGGCCAGGCTCGGATTGGTGGGCGGAGAGAGGGCGGGGCCAGGACCACCTAGCGGAGCCTCTGGCCGGTGCAGGTATCCGGTCATCTTGCGCCGCTTTGAGCTGAGGCTGGGGTCCGGGGGCCGCGGCCGCTTCCGGGGCGGCGATGGTGTTGTCCGCGAGCTGCTGTTCCGCGAGGAGGCGCTGCTGTCCGTGCTGACGGAGCGCCGCGCCTTCCGGCCGTACGGCCTCCACGGTGAGCGCCGCGCCTCACCCCCCAGCCCAGTCACTCTCTCACCCCAACGCGGTCTGTTTCTCTCCGCGCCCTGTCTCCTTACCAAACCCCCTCCCCCCATCTCTCCCTTCCTGGCCTCCTGAGCCACCGCGCCTCGCCTCCTCCTGCAGGGGGGGAGCCCGGTGCGCGCGGCCTAAACCTACTGATCCGCAAGGACGGCAGGACGGTGAACCTGGGCGGGAAGACCTCGGTATCCGTATTCCCCGGGGTAAGCATGGTCTCCCGTCCCGTCCCATCTGCGCCTCCCGGGCGGCTGCCGTCCCAAAGAAGGTGCACAGAGTTGCAAAAGTGACTAGCGACCCAGTTTAATTCTGCTTCTGGGGGACCCCGTCCTTCTCCAAGCGCGGCTCCGGGGCTCAGACTGGGCTGTGCATGGGCTGCTGTGGGGATGGGGCCGCAGCGGGCAGGAGGCGGGGACCACGCCCGCGCTGAACTGTTGCTCTGCTCCACAGGACGTGTTCTGCCTCCACACGCCAGGCGGCGGGGGCTACGGGGACCCCGAGGACCCGGTCCCACCACCCGGGCCGCCCCCCCAGCCCCCGTCCTTCTCCAATCGCGGCAGCGTGTACGAGTACCGCAGGGCCCAGGAGGCTGTGTGAGGCGGGGAAGCCCGCGCAATAAAGATCCACAATCAGACGCTCTGCTTCCGCGGCTGCGGCCCGCCCGGCTCCCTCTTGGCCGAATCGCGCTTGGCCTCCGTGCCCGCCTTCGCCCCGGGCCTCGCCGCGGTTTCCTGCGCGTCTCCGTGCGCGGAAACCCGGAGCCGAAGTCCCAGGGCCAGGTGGTCAGTGAGGCCGGCCAGGGCGGTGCTGAATGCCACCTGCTCGACCTCCTGGGGGGCGGGAGTCAGGGTGAGTGGTCGCCCCGCGCCAGCCTGCCCGGCGCCCTGAGCTGGGGCACTTACTGGGCTCAGCGGGCCTCCGGGCACCCCCCGGTAGGTGATGTAATCCAGGCGCCGGCCCCGCCAGGGCTTAGCCCGGCGCCCCCCCTGCGGAGGGCCTGCCAGGTAGCGGTGGCGGCCTCGCTCCTGCTCCAGGGCCCTGAGGAGGAGCGGTGTCATCAAGGCCGGCGCGACCCGCCGCGCGCGGGGCTGCTGGGGCGGGGGTGCCTCGCCCACAAGTCGCCACTCACCTCCGCAGCATCTCCGGGGAGCAGGCCACCGAGTGGCGGAGCCTGGACTTGCACAGCATCGTTCCTGGGGGAGGGAGGCGGGGGAGGCCGGTCAGCGAAGCGCGCGCAGGCCGGCGAGCCCTGTCCCCGGGCCTGTCCCCTCCTCCCCGGGTCTGTCCCCTCTTCCCCGGTCTGTCCCCTCCTCCCCGGGCCTGTCCCCTCCTCCCCGGGTCTGTCCCCTCCTCCCCGGGCCTGTCCCCTCCTCCCCGGGTCTGTCCCCGCCGGAGCGCCGCACCCAGGGCCCAGGGCTGGTCCCGGCGGGTGTCCAGCCGGCAGGGGTCCCGGAAGCGGCTGAAGAGCTGGTGCTCCTGCTCCCGCGCGTCGTCTGCGGGGAAAGGCCGGCGCTGGGTGGGCGGGGCCGGGACCGCCGCGCCGCCCCGCCCCGCCCCGCGCCGCCCCCCGGGCGCCCTCACTGAGGCAGCAGTTGTCAAAGTTGAGGTCCCCCAGGAGCACGCTGAAGGCCACGGCTTCGTCGCTGGAGCGGCTCTCGGCCTCAAACTGCTCGGCCCAGTTCAGCAGCAGCGTCAGCTGTTTGCAGCGCAGATGTCCATCCCCTGCGGGAGTGGAGGGGGAGAGGAAGGCTCAGCGCAGGGTGCCCTTCAGAACTCGGATCACACCACTGAACTCCCCGTCACCCACCCTGCCCACCCCCTGTGAGCCCGCCCAGGCACCCTAGGGATCCGCGGTGTCCGGGGCGGTGAACAAACGGCGGGGGAGGCGGGTCGGCCCACCCGCGCGCCCCCCATCCGCCCCCCGGGGCTCACCACTCGGGGCATGCAAGTGCGTGCAGTGCAGGAAGCCCACGACGCGGCGCCCGTTCAGGATGCCCACCTGCGCCTGCAACACCACGGAGAGCCCCAGCAACCCTCCCCCGGGGGCCCCGCGCCCGCCCCTTCCTGCCTCCCGGAGCGCGGCCGCGGGCGGGCGGGTACCTGTGCGGAGAGAAGGCCCTTGGAGGCCAGCGCGTCCTCGCGGCGGGCCTGGGGGAAGGCCCGGAAGGCGGCGCGCAGCAGCGGGTAGCGCGAGGCCAGCAGCAGCCCGCTGCCCAGAAGCTTGAGGTGCGGCCCGGGCTGCAGGCCGAACGTGCCCACGTCATGCAGCACGGGGCCCAGGTGGGGGGCCAGGCGGCTCACCAGGGGCCGCGCCGCGCGCAGGTCGAACACCTCCTGCAGGCACACGAAGTCCAGGGCGGGCGGCAGGGCGGCCGTCAGCACCCCGCTGGGCGCGCCGGGCTCGGGGGGCGGGCTGCAGTCCGTGGCCCCATAGCGCGAGGGCGCGGCGCGCAGGCCGGCCAGCAGCAGGGCGCCCGCGGCGTCGGCGCGCCGCTGGGTGTGCCGCAGGTTGCTGAAGCGCGCCAGCCCGTCAGGGAGCAGGCACAGGTTGGCGCTGAGGAAGCCGAAGCAGCGCGCGGGCTCCGCCGGGGGGCGCCAGGGCGCGGGGGGCGCCCAGCCCTGCGGAGGGGGCTGGTAGCAGAAGGGGCGGCGCCAGGCCTGCAGCGGCAGCCAGAGCAGCAGGCCCGGCAGCGCCAGCGGCAGGCCGAGCAGCAGCAGCAGCAGCGCCGCCCCTGCCCACACGGCCACGCGCAGCGCCGTCAGCAAGCTGGGGCGCGCCCTGGGGGCCCAGCACCCCAGCAGCTGGTCCAGGGCCCAGTAGGCGGGGAAGAGCAGCGCGCGGGCCAGGGCGTGCAGGGCGTGCAGCGCCGGGTGCGGGAAGGGCGAGGGCCGGAACGCGCCGGGCACCGGGGGCCAGTCCGGCCGGGAGGGCATGGCACGCGGGGCTCCTCGGCCGGCCGCGGGCGCCTCAGCCTCTCATCTGCTAGGTGACCTGCCGGTGCGCCCGCCGGGGCAGGTGCGGGGCCGCAGGGGTCAAGGCCAGGGTCAAGGCCAGGCGGCGCAACTTGTGCGCGGACCCAGGAAGGTGCCCGAGAGCCCGGGGACACGCGCACGGGCGCAGGTTTGCGTCCAGGAAACGGCCTCTCCCCCGCGCGATGTCTCGTTGGCAGTTGGAAAGAAGCAAAGGGAAAGCGAAAGGGACACCGGCCTGGCAGCCCCGCCCCGGCCCGCCCCTCCTCGGCCCGCCCCGCCCGCCCCGGAAGGCCGCATGGGGAACTAGATGCGCCTGAGGGCACCGGGGCTGGGGGGCGGCCCGCACCGGGCGGAGGGTGCTGCCGGGCGCGGGCGCAGCGCCGGCGAGGGGCGTGCGGTGGGCGCTGCGCCCCGCCCCCTCCCGCCTCCTACACGTCCGCGTGGGACTGCCCGGGTGCTCAGGCTGCCGGACTTTGGGATGTGCTCCATCCCACCCCGCCGGCTCCCAGGGGCTCGATGTCCAGCCCTCGAGTCAAAAGAGGGGTCCCCAGCGAAGGGATGGTCTCCAGGCTCTGAGCGGCCTAACCCACCGCCCAAGCCGCGCCCCGCGGAGCCCGGGCTCACAGCAGGGCGGCTCTTGGACTCCGCGGAGCTTCCCACCTGGGGGGGCAGGGGCCGTTGGTTTCCACCCTGCGCGGCTGCTCCCCCCGCCCCCTCCCGGCACGAGAGCCTGTCTCCGGCTCCATTACCTCTGAGCCCACTCCCACCGCTCAGGTGGAGGCTGGGGAGCTGCCCCCATCCCTCCGATGTTGCTGGGCCCCCACCTTTGTAACTGGAGCTGTGAACCAGTCCCTACAGCAGGTGCTTTTTTTTTTTTTTAAGCATATTTTTAAAATATATGTTTATTGATTTCAGAGAGACATAGAAACATCAATGATGAGTCCTGAATCAGATGCCTCTCACACGCCCCCTACTGGGGATGGAGCCTGCAACCCCGGCCATGTGCCCTGACTGGAACTGAACCATGACCTCCTGGTTCATAGGTCAACACTCAACCCCTGAGCCACGCGTGGGGCTGAGCTCTCGGCTCTGCCCACTTTCCCATCCTGCCTCTGCCCCTGTGGCCCAGTGGAGCTGCCTCTGCTTCCTGCCCTCCCTCACCTCCCCATCCCGCCCCGTGCCTTGCGAATGGGTCCCATCCCCCTGGGCCACCCGTGCCCAGGTCTACAGAGGGCTTTCTCCTGGTTCCCTTCCCTCCTCTCAGGTCCCCTGCCCTCAAGGGGGCCCAGAATCCCCCTTCCTCCCTGCCTGGCCCAGAGGGAGGAACTCGCACAGCCACATCCTCCTCTCGCGTCCAGTCTGCCTTCTGCAAGGCGCCCAGGCCTCCGCTCCAACCTGTCGCCAGCGTGCAGGCACTGCCACAGCCCTTCCCTGCCACTGGGCTCCTTCCTGCTTCCTGCTCCTCCCCAGGAGTCCCAGGGCCTCTCACTGTGCCCATGGCCGGGCCAGGGGAACCTTGGGCCTTCTGACCGCCCCCCCCCCTTTTGGCCAGGCAGCTGGCCCAGGGCCGCAGGACTGACCGGGCAAAGGGGAGCGGGGACTGGAACCACCCAAGGAAGCAGCACGGCCAGGCGTGCGGGCAGGCCCAGCGGCCAGCATCAGTGGGAATCTTTAATGTGTACGGTGGGGAGCTGGGCCGGCGGGCAGGGCCGGGTCGGCAGCCGGCACGTCACCAGATGAACATGGGCTTGCCGTCGTCGTGCGCCAGCTGGCTGAGGCAGGAGAGCAGCAGCAGGGCGTCGGTGAGCATGCTGGGGTGCACCGTCTCCACCAGCACGCGCTGCAGGAAGTCCACGGTGTAGGAGCCGCCCTCGGACACCGCCAGCTCGGGCCGCTCCCGCAGGATGCCGTAGGCGTTCACCAGCTGCTCTGTCAGCGCCGGGTGCACCCGCCCGTTGTAGCCCAGGCCCTGCAGCCGGTTCATGATGCTCACGTAGCGCTGGGTGAGCGTCTGGCACAGCTCCTCGTCCAGCTTGTGGTCATTGGGGTTCAGGGAGGCCTGGGAAGAGGGAGGGGACACCGTCAGGGGTTCCCTAAGCCCCATCCCCGGATCCATCACCCGGGGACTCAGGACCGAGCTGAGGCCAAGAGGAACTGAGGACAGAGCGTGGCTGGGAGGTGGGGTTGGAGGGACAGCGAGGGAGCGCTGGGTGCCCCCAGCGTTGCCTGACCCACCAGACGCCAGTGGGGGCTCTGCAAGGCTTCCTCCTGGCTCCCCACGCTTCCTCTCTCCAGCCTCCGCCTCCTCTGAACCCTGCACAGGCCCTGCTGGCGTCACTCCCACCTCTCAGGCTGACATGGCCGCCCAGGGCCCGGAGCCAGCCATGCTGCCCCAGCACGGGTCCTGCTGTCCCCCAGGTGTCTGCTCCTGGTGCCCGGGCCTGGGGGCTGGCAGTGGCTGGGGGCCGTCTCCACCTACAAGGCATTCCTCACCCTGGCCAGGTGGTGGCCGCGTCCTTCCATAGCATCTCACCATGAATTCGGTCCCTCCTTCCCCCTCCCCTGCTGTGGCCTCCAGGACACATGACCCGGGCAGTCACATGACCCCCGGCTCAGAGGGCCCCGCACACAGCCGAATGCTCAGCGGTAGCCCGGTATCTTCCTTGGCACCGGGTCCTGCACAGGGTGCACCTGTCACAGGTGCGGGGGCCCCCAGGCCCGCAGAACTAAGGGTCGGAAGTGGGCGTCTGATAGGGTGAGCTGTTCTGTGGCTCCCACGGCTCCCGCTCTGGGGCCAGGGCCAACCTGCGAGCTGTGGCCTGGCCCTGCGTGCCCCCTTCCAGCCGCTTCCTAGATGCTGATGGGAAGGCCCAGACAAGAGGCTTAGGCACCGCCTCCTCCAGGAAGGCCTCTCTGTCCTCCCTCCTGTCCCCTCCACCCCCCGCCAGGTGGTCATGTGAGCAGAGCACTGGGCTTAGGGCTGGGCTCAGCTGAAGTGACCTCTGACCTCTGGCAGGTGACACTAGAGCTCTAGGCTCGGCTCTTCACTTCCTGTCTCTGATTCTAGCCTGCTCTCCAGGCCCCCTGGGAAGGACTTCCGGAGCTCAGGCCACAGTGGGGATAAGCAGGGGAGCTGTCACCCAGGACGGCAGGGAGCACCGAGGGTGCACAGCTGTGGGCCGGGCCGGGAGGGCCCCTGCGGCCTGCTCAGCCCGGGCCCTGGCTGAGTGCTGCTGCGCAGGGTCTGGGGCACGGATCTCAGGACGGGAGCAGGAGGTCAGTGGGGAGCTGGGCCCTGGAGAGCAGTGTGGGCTGAGAGACAAGGCCAGGGCTGCCCTAGGAAGTAGCCCTTTAAGAGTGGAGGGGAGGGGGAGCATGTGGGGAAGAGTCGGCCAGCACCCTGGGCTGGGGAGCTGTGGGCATCCCCCCTCTCCCTCTGTGCTGAGAGCAGAGCAGGGGGAAGGGCCCTGTCCTGAGGGTTGGAGCCTCCTGGTGGGCTGTGTGTATGTGCGTGTGTGTGTGATTAAACTTAATGTTTTTATTTTGCTAATCCTCACCTGAGGATATTTTTTTCTATGGATGGTTAGGGAGAGTGGAAGAAAGAGGGAGATACCATGAGAAACATCGATGTGAGAGAAACACTTCGATTGGTTGCCTCCTGCACACGCCTGGACCAGGGCCCAGGCCAGGGAGGAGCTGCAACCTTTGACTGGAATCGAACCCGGAACGCTTTGGTCTGCAGGCCAATGCTCTATCCACTGAGGCAAACCGGCCAGGGCGGCTCTGTGGTTTTAAATGCTCAAGCTGACCACTGTACAGGATGGACGGGGTCTGGCCATAGAGGGGGGGGCTGGGCTCGTCCACCCTGCAGGCACTCTCCGAAGCGGCAGCAGGGTGGCAGACACAGGGCTTCCCCGCCAGCTGCTGAGCGATAGAACCGCTCCCTCGGCCCTAGACCTGCCTCACCGTCCACTCCGGCTGGTGCTCCGCAGTCACAGTGGTCCCAGGTTTTTACTGCCCCTCTCCCCCCCAGTCCTAAATGCTTCATTTAAAAGCAAAAGAAGCCAAGACCAGTTTGGCTCAGTGGTAGAGCGTCGGTCTGCGGACTGAAGGGTCCCGGGTTCGATTCCGGTCAAGGGCATGTACGTTGGTTGCAGGCACATCCTCAGTGGGGGGTGTGCAGGAGGCGGGTGGTCGATGTTTCTCTCTCATCGACCTTTCTGGCTCTCTTGTCTCTCTCCCTTCCTCTCTGTAAAAAATTAATAAAATATATTTAAAAATAAATAAATAAAAGCAAAAGAAATGCAAAATAAATGAAGTACTCAATCCAAGAAACAAATAACCCAGCCCGTGTGTCTCAGTGGCCGAGCGTAGACCCATGGACCAGGGGGTCAGGGTTTGGTTTGATTCCTGTCAGGGCACATGCCCGGGGGATTGAGGGCTCGATCCCAGTGCGGGGCGAACAGGAGGCAGCCGATCCTCCTGTACCCCTGTTTCTCTCTGCCCCTGTTCCCTAACCGCTGTTTCTCTGGCTTCTGGGACAAGGCGTGGACCAACATTAACCTCAAAAACTTTTCTTGAATCCCCCCGAGGACTGGGCTTTCTTACATGAAGAGTGGGGCCAGGTGTCAGGTATTTTCAAACTTGGTTTTATCATCTGTCAAATGGGCGTGAGAATACAGTGGGCCCACCTAGAAGAGTTGTTTTGAGAATCAAATGAAATACACTCTGTTACGTGTTTAGCACAAAGCCTGATTCTCTCTCATCGTGGATATTTCTCTCTCTCTCCCCCTCTCCCTTCCTCTGTGAAATAAAAATATATTTTAAAAGAGACAAAACAGCTGAGACCGGTTTGGCTCAATGGATAGAGTGTCGGCTTGGGGACTGAAGGGTCCCGGGTTCGATTCCGGTCAAGGGCATGTACCTTGGTTGCGGGCAAATCCCCAGTAGGGGGTGTGCAAGAGGCAGCTGATCGATGACTCTCTCTTATAGATGTTTCTAACTCGCTATCTCTCTCCCTTCCTCTCTGTACAAAATCAATAAAATATATATTTTTTTAAAAAAATAAAAATAAATAAATAAAAGAGACAAAACAAACACCGGGATTAGTTTATGATCAGAATATCTTATCTAGAGTCTCAAAATGTTAAGACAGTGGTCGGCAAACTCATTAGTCAACAGAGCCAACTATCAACAGGACAACGATTGGAATTTCTTTGGAGAGCCACATTTTTAAAACTTAAACTTCTTCTAATGCCACTTCTTCAAAATAGACTCACCCAGGCTGTGGTATTTTGTGGAAGAGCCATACTCAGAGGGCCAAAGAGCCGCACGTGGCCTGTGAGCTGCGGTTTGCCGACCACGGTGTTAAGAGAAAAGGGAGGAAGGGGAAATCATGTGATCATCTCATCAGAGACAGAAAAACATTCTAAAAAATCCAATGTTTGTTCACAATTAAGAAAGAAAAATAAAATAAATAAAAGGTCTCAACAAAGGAGGAAGAGGGGGAATTTCTCAACCTGATACTGAATCTGGCTCATCTGGTTTCTGTTCTAGAGCCTTCTAGTGCCCTCTGACCTCAAGGGGCTGGACACTAAAAGCCACCTTTTCCCGACACCCCTGTGACCTGGGTTTCTGCAGTGGTGTTTGTCCCTGAGGAAGGCCCCTGTGGTGCTGGCAGTTCTCCTGGTTGCAGAGCAGAGAACGCCCTGTGGTGTCTGCTTCCTGGAGCTTCTGGCCATGCAGACGCCATCACCCTTCCTGCTCACACCAGCTGGGAGGGTTCTGTCCTCTGCAATCGGGAACTGGCTGACCTGGCCAAAAGCCTGGCACAGCCGGGCCGGCCTGGCTCAGGGGTTGGGCATCGACCTAGGAACCAGGAAGTCAGGGTTTGATTCCTGGTCAGGGCACAAGCCCGGGCTGCAGGCTCATCCCCAGTAGAGGGCGTGCAGGAGACAGCCCATCCATAGTTCTCTCATCATGGCTGTTTCTCTCTCCCTCTCCTTCCCTCTCTGAAATCAATGATTTAAAAAAAAAAAAAAGATATTTTTAAAAGCCTGGAACACACTTCCTACTTAACAGGAAGTGCCCCTCGTGGAGTCAGAAACAGGATGTTGCCACATCGGAGGTTTCCCGTAATTACTGCACAAAATGACTGCGTGGGAAACTGAGCTGATGAGAAGGGAGCTCTGAAAACTAGGAGGAGGCTTGGACTGGATAACTAAATCGTCGCACAAAAGTCACAAACATTCCGGGAGCCACTGAGGGGGCTTGGGGAGCATCGCGGGCGGACGGGCACCGTGTGACAATGAAAGACTGAGGGTACCTTAACAACCGGAAAAGACAAGCATGCCGCTGGGCGAGGATGGGTCCACTGGAGCCAAAGCCGCCTCTGCCCGTGCCCCCCAGGAGGACGGTGCACAGACACAGGGGCCTAGAGGCGGCGCCAGGGGCACCTTCCAGTCTGGGGTGGGGGAGCTGGGAGCCATTGCAGGGGCCGAGGGGGAACCATGCTCAGCCGCTCCCCTGCCCTGTTCTCTGGGGAGTCGGTGCAGCTGGGGACCACGGCCTCCTGCTGGTAGATGCTCCGGGCACTGCTGGCTTCTTGCTCCGTCCTGGACGCCCTTGGGGGACTCTGTGCTCACCTGGCTGGAGTGCAGGGCCCCCAGCAGCCCCTCAGGGTCCAGCATGCTCCCCATGCCTGCCCTGCGCCGGCAGGCCCTCTGGCTGGGAGTGGGAGGGAGACGGGCACACACCTGGATGATCTTCTCGGGGATGTTGGAGACGGTGAAGCCATAGAGGCGCACGCGCTCCGGGAAAATGCTGGACAGGATCCTGCGGTCCAGCTGGAACGCGATCTCGCCCACCAACCTCTCCAAGGCCAGCTGCTTCGGCTCTGGGAACGGCAAGGGGTGGAGGGGGTGGGCAGTGGCGTGGTCTATAGCCCAGGCAGGCACCTGGAGGGGTCTCCGAGGGTGGCCAGGAGCCCCCAGACCGGAGTCCACCCCGGGACAGCACCGACCTCGGGGGGTCTCGGGGAACTTGCTGATCTTGCGGTGGGCCAGCTTCCTCTCCAGTTCCAGGTTGCTCTTCCGAGACGTTTCAGAGCCGCGTGGGCCGTTGACGGAAGCCGGGGAGGAGGTGGTGCGGGGTGGTGTGTGGGAGGTGGGTGCGGGCCGGGTGTTGGAGTGGTTCACTTGGGTGGCGGAGTGGGTGGCGCCCTGGGCCATGTGGACGGTGTTTGAGGGGCTGTGAGCGGTGGCGGCGGGGGGAGCAGCATCAGGGGCGTGGGGGAGGATGGGGCAGAGAGCTGGGGAGGTGGGGACGAGGCCAGCCGCTGCTTGTCCCCGAGGGGCACCCGCCTGAGTCTGGATCTCTGGGGTGCCGAAGGAGAAGGTGGTCGCGGAGCCCGGCGTGCCCACGGCGCCGACGGGGGTGGAGGTCATGATGGGCCCACCCACGAACGTCCCGCTGAAGGACTCGGGGTCCTGGCTCGGCAGGGGGTGCTCGGTGGAGAGTGGGCCTGGTTGACAAGGTGGGGCAGAAAGGAGAGGAGGGTAAGGGCGAGGTCGGACCAGGGACCGGCCTGGCGGGGAGCCCCCCCTTCCCCTGCACCCACCACTTACTTTTGCCGGTGGCAGCAGGCCCCGTGGTGCCAGCGGAGGGATGGGGTCCAGAGGCAGATCCTTGGAGGGGCTCTGGGGGCCGCACCCGGGGGGCCTCACTGGTCATGGGGTTGGCCAGAAGGTTCTGAGAAACACCTGGAGGGGCGGTGGTGGAGGTGAACTGGGGGCCCACCAGGGGGCTGCTTGACACCAGGGAGCCGGTCGTCGGCAGGTCCAGGGAGCCGGTTGGCGTGCCCCCCAGGGGCACCATCATGGAGCCGCTGTGTGGCGTCAGGGAGCCGGTGGAGGGCAGGCCCAGAGCGCTGGCTATGAGGCTCGGCATGGACACTGCCAAGGGGCTGCTGAGGTGGTTGCCCAGGGGGCTGCCCAGGAGGCTGGTGAGCGCACTGTTCTGCGTCATGGGCAGCAGCATGCTGACGGCAGTGGGGCTGAGCTGTGGGCTGGTCAGTATGTCAGCCGTGGACGGCAGTCCCCTCACCCCCACTTCTTCCGTGGCGGGTTCGTTGGCTGCGGCTGGGGCCTGGGGCAGGAAGGCACCTGGGAGACACAGAGAAGCACTGAGACCCCAGGTGGGCCCCCGGGAGAGGGCTTTCTCCCGACGGTGGCGGGGCCTGGACCAAGGTGCCCGTCTACCTCGGAGGAGCTGACCACCCCTCTGAGCCTCCCCTCTTTGCGGGACCCTAGGCCAGGGGCTGGCCCCTCTGAAGGAGCCTTGCTCCTTCCAGGCTCCTTTCTCTAAACACCTGCTCCCCAGCCATAGGGACCTTCCACAGCTGCCCACCTGTGGGCCCCACACAAAGCTGCTGACCCCTGGACAAAGAGAGAGGAGAGTCAGAGGGACCCCTTCATTCCCTGGTGGGGAGGGCGGGGCCCGGCCTCCTGACCTCCGTCCTTGCAGGGGCAGCCTCACCTCCCCGGGTGGGGAGACCCGCAAGGGGGCCAGAGCTAGAACAGGTGTGAAGCTTCGTGTGGTGTGTGCCTTTGACTGGGAATTGAACCCACAACCCTTCAGTCCCTGGGCAGATGCTCTAACCACTGAGCACCTGCCAAGGGCTGTAATTTGTAATTGATTTAGATTTGTGAGTTGCAATCTCCTGGGTTTTAGGACAGTTTCAGAAACCTAAAGAGAATTTTAGGCTTGCTGCATTTATTTTATGTGTAAGAATTACTTAGGCCGAAACCAGTTTGGCTTAGTGGTAGAGCGTCGGTCTGCGGACTGAAAGGTCCCAGGTTCGATTCCGGTCAAGGGCATGTACATTGGTTGCGGGCATATTCCTGGTAGGGGGTGTGCAAGAGGCAGCTGGTCGATGTTTCTCTCTCATCGACGTTTCTAGCTCTCTATCTCTCTCCCTTCCTCTCTGTAAAAAAATCAATAAAATATATTAAAAAAAAAAAAAAAAGAATTACTTAGTGTCCAAGGAGGATTGCTTGTTACCTCGGACAATTTAGGTTAAAAAGGGAGGCCAGTGCTTTAGATTTGCAAGTGTAGTTTACGGTATTTTCAACAGTTTAACGGAAGGGACTCACTGTCCTCAGTGCCCCCAGCAGGGCAGCTCAGTCCTTCCCCCCGGGATCAGTCTGAGTGGCCCCTGGGGTCTCCCACCCTCGGGCGCCTCTGCACTGTCCTGACCTCCACTGCACCATGTCCCCCACCGGCCTCCACTGGGCTGCAGCCGCCTCCCCCGTGGTCCCTCCCGGGTTTGCCCGGAAACCCGGTCCATGCAGGGACAGAGGGGCAACAGGTGGCCGGAAGGGCGGGCCCTGACCTGGCAGAGACTCAGGTAGAAAGGGGCCCCGCACGGGGCGGGGCTAGAGGCGGGGACGGGGCTCGACATGGGGCGGAGCCAAATTTGATAGGCTGGCTGTGCCCGGGGCGGGGCCGTCTTGGAGGCTGGGCTAGAGTATTGGGGCGGGGCTACGGCGAGGGCGGGGCCTGAAGTGAAGGCGGAGCTACAGCATCAGGTGGGCCCGGCGGGCGGGGCTTCGTAGGGGCGGGGCGGAGCCCGAGGCTGGGCGGGATGGCGCCTGCAGACCGAATGGGGAGGCGGGAAGCCCTGGAAGTAGATGGTGAGCAAAGGCGGCTCTAGCCACGTTCTGGGGTCCTGAGGCAGCGGAAGGGGGGCCAGGGAGAGGGGACAGGGGCGGTCTAAGGGGAGAAGGTCCTGAGGGGAGATGGGGGTCCTGAGGGAAATGGGGGTCCTGAGGGGAGACGGGGTCTGAGGGGAGACGGGGGGGGGGGTCCTGAGGGGAGACGGGGGGCGGGGGGTCCTGAGGGGAGACGGGGGGCGGGGGGTCCTGAGGGGAGACGGGGGGCGGGGGGGTCCTGAGGGGAGACGGGGGTCCCGAGGGGAGACGGGGCCCTGAGGGGAGATGGGGCGGGGGGGTCCTGAGGAGAGACGGGGTCCCAAGGGGAGACGGGGTCCTGAGGGGAGACGGGGCCCTGAGGGGAGACGGGGGTCCTGAGGGGAGACGGGGCCCTGAGGGGAGACGGGGGTCCTGAGGGGAGACGGGGTCCTGAGGGGAGATGGGGCGGGGGGGTCCCGAGGGGAGACGGGGGTCCCGAGGGGAGACGGGGTCCCGAGGGGAGACGGGGCCCTGAGGGGAGACGGGGGTCCTGAGGGGAGACGGGGGTCCCGAGGGGAGACGGGGGTCCCGAGGGGAGACGGGGTCCCGAGGGGAGACGGGGTCCTGAGGGGAGACGGGGCCCTGAGGGGAGACGGGGGTCCCCAGGGGAGACGGGGGTCCCCAGGGGAGACGGGGTTCCGAGGGGAGACGGGGTCCCGAGGGGAGACGGGGTCCCGAGGGGAGACGGGGGTCCCGAGGGGAGACGGGGCCCTGAGGGGAGACGGGGGGGTCCTGAGGGGAGACGGGGCGGGGGGGGTCCTGAGGGGAGACGGGGCGGGGGGGGTCCTGAGGGGAGACGGGGGGGTCCTGAGGGGAGACGGGGCGGGGGGGTCCTGAGGAGAGACGGGGTCCTGAGGGGAGACGGGGTCCTGAGGAGACAGAGGGGCTGAGCTGGGCCTAGGGAGGAGGATGCTGAGGGGAGGGCTTGAGGCCTCATGGGTCCTGGTTGCTCCTGGTCCCACGGGGCCGCCCGCCTCCACCTGCAAGTTAGTCCAGCCCCAGCCCTCATTCCCTGACCCCCGGGCGGGTCACCCTCCCTGACCCCGCAGCCCAGCCGTCCCCCTGTCCCTTGGCAGCTCCAGCCCCCTTCGCTGAGCCGCCTCAGCCCGGCCTCCCTCCACCACATGCTGCTGGAGAAGGCGGCGCTGCCTTAGGACCCGCAGATGCGCCCCTTTGGGCCTCGGCACAGGGAGCCGGAGCCGTTCTGCCCAGGCGCCCACGCCCCTTCCCCGTCCTCCTGCTCCCCCTACCCCCCAGAAAGACATTTTTACGGATAAAGGGAGTCGTGCTCTGGGGTCCTGGCTGCACCTGGCGTCCTCCTGCCCTGCCCTGCCCTAGTTCCTTCCCCCCAAACCAGCAAACTCGGGGTCTCTGCCCTCCTGAAAAGCCGCTCTCGGTGCCAGAGCGACGCCTCGTGAAAACCAGCCTTCCTCTTGTTGTCTCCCTCCCCCTTCACCACACTCCTGGCCTGTCCCACCCAGTCACTCCCACAAGGCCATTAACGCCAACGAGGGGACCAGGGCCTTGACCGGAACCAAACCAGGACCCTGTGGTCCGCAGGCTGATGCTCTGTCCACGGAGCCAACGGGCTGGGGCTCGCTAGCACACTCCTTGCTGGCCCTCTTCTCGGCCTTTGTTTGCTGCCCCTGCCCCTAGGAACTGTCCAGGCTTCCCCGGCACCACGTGGCTGGGCCTGCCTCTCCCTGACGCTCCCTGGCCGGGTCCCCCACCTGCCCTGACTGGGACTGGCTCCTCCGTCTGCTCGGTGTGCTCTGTCCTCAGATGCTCACCGCCGCCTCCTGCAGCTTCTGTCACCAACACAGAATCCTTCTCTCTGGCGCCCTGACCGCTCCTCTGAGCGCCAGGCCCATAACCACCGCATGGACGTCCTGCAAATGTCGGAAAGTCCGTGTGTCCCAAATAGAAGGCATGCTCTTCCTCCCGAAACGCAGGTCCTGCTCCCAGGCCAGTGGTCGGCAAACTCGTTAGTCCACAGAGCCAAACATCAACAGCACAACGATTGAAATTTCTTTGGAGAGCCAAATTTTTTTAAACGTAAACTCTATAGGTAGGTACATTGTTATTAACTTAATTAGGGTACTCCTAAGCTGGCCTTTGCTAAAAACTCTTTGGCCTTTGCCAAAGAGCCGCATGTGGCTCGAGAGCCACAGTTTGCCGACCACGGTCCCAGGCTCACCCTGGGCCACAGCACAGAGAACATGCATGTCAACATCATTCAAAGCTATCAACTGAGCTAACCAAGTGTTAAATGATGGTCTAGCTTCCTACCTGACTAATGCACCTGTAACAATCTAGAAAGATGAGGGTTCAACTTAGGATTTTGTCCCTGGAGCTCTGTGCCACAGTGTGGTAGCTTGGGAAGACCTGTCTCCCCCCCTCTCCCCCGCCCATCTCTCACCCTTTTCTTTCTGTCTGTGGCTGGTTCTGTGAGCACCCACAAGCACTCCTCCCCCTCCCCTGTATTCCTCCTATGGGGATGGGCTAGGGCTCTGGCTGGAGGGTACAGGAGGGAAAGCTGTGCACCAGAGTCCAGGGCAAGAAAAGGGGGGGGGGCAGGAAGAGGAATTGAGGGCCAAGTTCACTAGAGCAAATCGAGAGAAAGAGCCTGACCCTGTGAGGAAGGCCGGTCACGGGAAAACAGGCAAGGGAGGCAGCAGCCCCGAAAGAGCCTCCGGGGCAACTAGAGGGTTAGGCTGAGTTAGGGTGAGGGCTACGGTTAGGATTAGTACTGGGATTGGCTGGGTTAGGGTGAGGGTTAGGCTTAGGGTTAGGGTTAGTGTTAGGGCTGAGGTTCGCTGGAGTAGGATAAAGGTTAGGGTTAGGGCTGGGGTTTGCTAGGTTAGGGTTAGTGTTAGGGCTGGGGTTGGCTGGTATAGGGTGAGGGTTAGGGTTAAGGCTGGGATTGGCTGGGGTAGGGTGAGGGTTAGGGCTGAAGTTGGCTGGGTTAGGATTAGGCTTAGGCTTAGGGCTGGGGTTGGCTAGGCATGGGCATGGAGAGGTCTCTAGTCTCAGGAAGTGGTGCCATCCATCACTCAGCAGCCCCAGCAGGAGCTGAAGAAAATTCTGGACTTCCTTTTCATGCCTCCCCTCTTCCCAAGCAGCTAGTTTTCTTACAAAATAACTTGAATCACTTTTTCTTCACTGCTGTTTACACCCTCCTCTCCCACCTGGACAACTGCAAAGCCTCAGCCTAACCCTCTCCCTGCCTCTCTCTGGTCACCCTCGATTCCTTTCCCCACAGCACCCGGGATCATCTTCCAGAAGCACAAACATGACCCCTCCCCCTTAGCCATCACCTGCCTTTAGGAATGGGCCGAGCTCCTGTGTGTGGTGGCACTGGTGTCCTTGGCAGCGGATGCCTGCCGACCTCTCCAGCTGCACTGTTCACCTCTTGTTGGCTCCAACACACACAAACAACTCCACACACATACACAGGTCATACACAGTAGCACACGCAGCATAAACACACACATAAAAACACACACTCACACACTATCACACAACTCACAAAAGTCACACACACCATACATAGCACACTTTCATAACACATACACTTTCCCACACTCACAACTCTCTCAAGGCACACATACCACACACTCACACACATCCTATCTAATTAAGAGGGAATATGCAAATTGATGATCACGCCTTAACAAGATGGCTGCTCCCACACCGGAAGCAGGGATTCCATAACACAAGATGGCTGTGCCCACAGCAGAAGTTGAGTTCCCATAACGAGCCTTAAGGAGCAATCAGCAAGAACCTGAGGCTGTGTGGTGCTGGGCTGGGTCAGGGGACCTGAGGCTGCATCCCCAGCTGGTGGGGTTTGACAGGTAACCTCAGGCCACGCCCTCCCCACCCCCGTCCCAACATCAGGCTGGGGAACCTCAGGTTGAGCTCCCAACCTGGCAGGGTTTGACAGGGAACCTCAGGCTGCACCCCCTGCCCTGGCACCAGGCCAGGGGACCTGAAGCTGTGCCCCAAGCTCTGGCACCAGACTGTGGGACCTGAGGCTGTGCCTCACATCCTGGTGCCAGGCGGGTGGACCTGAGGCTGCACCCCCTGCCATGTGGGGCTTGACAGCGAACCTCAGGCCACGCCCCTGGCTTGGGCTAAGGGACCTCAGGCTACACCCCCACCCGGTGGGGCTGGCCAGATCTGGATCTAGCCCACTGGGGGAGGGGACAGCTGGGTCTGGGTCTCACAAGATTTTGAGGTGCACATGGGTGGGTGGGGACTTGATTCTGGGTCCCGTGGTGCACCCCAGACTCTGATAGGAGGGAGGTTTTTATATACATTTTACTAATTTTCTTTCATCTCTGACATTTCTATCATAGAGAAAGGGCAAATAGCAGTATTAAAATATTTCCTCTAATGAATTCCCTTTTAATGTGCACGAATCTCATGCACCAGGTCACTAGTTCTCATATAATAGACACAAGTACCACACACCCTAGTCACATACTGGCCCCACACACTGCATACACATGTCACACAATACACATACACATCACACTACACACTACACATTTGTGGACCATACAGTTGCACACCACGTTCACATGCTTGCACACATGTGCTCACGGCTGAGACAACAGGTGATTCACATCACACATGCTCGTTACCTCTCCCCCCATCAATACCCACACCCACATCCTCTCACACACAGACCACACACTCAATATACAACATGCACTCACACACCCCATGGAGCCCAGGCTTTCACCACTCTGAGCTGCTTCTCATTCCTGCACCTTCAAGGCCAGACCTTCCACATGTTGCTCCTCCCCCTGGAACATTCGCTGCCCCCTTCTCCCTTCGCTTACCGGGCTCACCTCCAGAAAGCCTTGCCTACCCCCTAAGCTCGACCCTTCAGGAAACCAGAAGTGGCCCAGGATTTTATGAAGAATCAAACTTAAGCCGAAACCGGTTTGGCTCAGTGGATAGAGTGTCGGCCTGCGGACTGAAAGGTCCCAGGTTCGACTTCGGTCAAGGGCATGTATCTTGGTTGTGGGCACATCCCCAGTAGGGGGTGTGCAAGGGGCAGCTGACTGATGATTCTCATCGATGTTTCTAACTCTCTATTCCTCTCTCTTCCTCTCTGTAAAAAAATCAATAAAATGTATATTTTTTTAAATTAAGAAAAAAAAAAAAAGAATCAAACTTAAGCCCTAACCCAGTGGTCGGCAAACTTATTAGTCCACAGAGCCAAATATTAATAGTACAACGATTGAAATTTCTTTTGAGAGCCAAATTTTTTAAACTCAATTTCTTCTAATGCCACTTCTACAAAATAGACTCGCCCAGGCTATGGTATTTTGTGGAAGAGCCACACTCAAGGGACCAAAGAGCCGCATGTGGCTCTCGAGCCGCAGTTTGCCGACCACAGCCCTAACCAGTTTTGCTTAGTGGATAGAGCGTCAGCCTGCGGACTGAAGGGTCCCAGGTTCGATTCTGGGCAGGGGCATGTACCTTGGTTGTGGACACATTCCCAGTAGAGGGTGTGCAAGAAGCAACTGATCGAGGATTCTCTCTCATTGATGTTTCTAACTCCCTGTTCCTCTCTCTTCCTCTCTTGGGGCTCCTCCCGCCAGGTGGAGGGGACTGGTACCTAATTTTGCCTTTTGATTCTAAGGGTCCTGTGTCCTCCCCTGGCGGGGCCACTGCCTACCTGTGTGTTATTAATCTGTGCCCTTCTCCCCGGGACTCCTGCGACCCCAGCCTCCTCTCTCCTCTGTAGTGCGGCCTCACCCTTCCCTTCCTGCTCTCCTTGACTCCAGGTCTCCGATAGTTACCCTGGCGTTGAGGAGCTCCGGGTGGCGCTTCACCGACCCCGCTGCTGAACCCGCTGATGCCCAGGGCACCCGCTTGCATCTTGATCGTGGACTTGAGCTCCTGGTTCTCCCGAATGAGCCGCACCAGCTTCTTCAGTTCCTCGTTTTCCCGCACCAGCCTCTCGATCTGATGCCGAAGCCCCTCATAATTGGCGAGTAGAGACATGCCCCAGGGCAGCGGGAAGGGTGTGGCCTGCGGGAGGGCACTGCACCTGGAGGCTGCCCAGCGCCCGGGGCCTTGCCCGGGCTGGAGGAGGGCGCCAGAGTTTGCAAGTTGCAAGGCTGGCCCAGTGGGTATTGTGAGGTCAGAGGCTGTCCGGACAACTTGGCTCTCATGGTGGCCCCTCTGGGAAGCTTCCTCTCTCCCAGGGCAAGCTCGTCCCTGCCCTGGAGGCCGTGGCTCCTCTGCAGAGGCGTTCCGTGTCAGAACGCTCCATCTGGTCAGCTCACGAAGGCTGTTCTACTCTCTGTGTGTTGAAGGCAGGGATTGTGGGACTCCCCAGAATTCGGCAAAGGGCCTAGGTGCAGTGTAGGTAGGTAACCAGCTGTAGGTAGGTAACCAGCGAATGTCTATTGAGTGGACACTCATCACCTCCCTCCTGGCCAGGGTGCCCTTTCCTTCTGACCGTGGGCACACCCAGGTGGAGCCTGTCAGCCTTCACCTGGGGACCTCCTAGGGACCTCTGGACACCTGGACCCTGGGCCATGCTTTCTGCCGACCCCCGCGATCAGAATCTTTCTCTGAGTGCCAGCGCGGGGCCTTCCTTGTCCAAGCATCTGGCTCCTTATCACTTGGAGTTTCCTTTTCTGGTGACTCCAGCTCCCCTCTTCCCAACCCCTCCGCACCCATACCTCCGTTCTCTGGCTCCTTGGATTTTCCTGACTGTGGTCCTTCAAGAACCCGACCGCATTCCTCGTCAGGTTCCAAGAAGTCAGACCTCTGAGTCCCAATGGCGCTTCCTTTTTTAAGTGCTCCCTACACAGACACCTCTGTGGGCCTGACCTCGGAGTCAGGCGAGGCTGTGTCTTCATGATCCGCATGGGCTCTGCGGGCATCTGCTCCCCAACAGAGGAGGATGGTGACGTACAGGGTGAGGCCGGAGGGCACTCTCCCAGTGGGAGGTTGGGGGCGAGGACGAGGTTGGAGGTCAGCCAGGACTGGGGTCCATCTGAGCTGAGCGTTCTATCTGGACCTCACAATGGGGCAGGGGGAGCTTGCCCCACCCTCCTCGGACACCCTGGACTGTACCCCTGCCTGGACTGTCACTGTGGCCCTGGGAGCCAGGGCCTGCATCCTGTCAGCGGAGAAGACCTCTGCTCTCGGTAGAACATCTCTGCTGGGCTGTCCCCCTGTGGGTGAGACCGGCTTCCCCTTTGGCCGCCCCAGTCCCTCTCCCTCTCGTCTTGCCCCACTGGTGGTCTCTCCTGGGCTGATTCGATCTTCACCATCTGGGACGGTTCCATCTTATGGGTCTGTCGGGCTGGGCTGGGGTGCCACAGGGCCGGTGGGAAGCGCTTCGTCGATGTGATGGACACCAACGACTCTCACGGGGCGGGCTTCAGCCAGCCAGCCGCAGGCCTGCCAGGCAGCACCCGGAGGGCTTCCCGGGAAGAAGGACTCTTTCTCAACCAGTCCCGCCGGAGTCTCCGGCCTGCTGGCTTGCTCTGCAGATTTTGAACTTGCCAACCCTGCAATTGTATGAGCCAATTCCTTCTGACTTTTGAATAGATAAGAACTCTGACTGATATGTCATCTCTATTTCTCTGCATAACGCTTCTCCTCCGCCCCCCCCCCAACAACAACAACAACAAATATATATATATATTGAGCACCAACTGTGTGTCAGGCATTGGGTTAGGGGTTGGGGGCTCAGTGCTTGTCACAATCTGGCACTGCCCCTGCCTTGCTGACCGTACAGTGTAGCAGGGAGCACTGTGAACTGAGCAATCACCTGCCACTGTCAAGTGGGCATGGTGGTGAAGGCTGCTGGTTTTGCTGGGAGAGGGCATCGTGGGCGGGTCGGACCCGGCCAGGCCAGCTCAGGGCAGCCTTCCCTGAGGAAGTTCCGAGCGAGATGTCGTGGGGGGCTGTCTGCCGTGGGAAGGCAGAGGCTGCCGGGCAGTGGCCTCACTGAAGGAACGAAAGGGGCTGGCATGGGATGGGGCAGAGGAGGGGATGGGACATATGGGGAAGGACACAGGGCCCAGGCCATGCTAAGGCCTCCTGGCCCCGGCTGATGTGGATCTTCACCCTAAGGGCCTTGGGAAGCTCTTGAAAGGCTTAAGGGAGGGGCTGTGGAGGGGGCTGAGGAGAAAGAGCCGCCACAGTCTTCGGAGCAAGCTGCAAGGGCAGCTCTGACCCCAGTGGGGTGAGATGTGGGCAGAGGTGGTGTACGTCTAGCGATACTGGTGGACTGGTCGTGGGCATGAGCGAGAGCCAGGATGGTCTCATAGTTTCTGGTGTGGGTGCTGGGCCGGCTTCTGCCTCCAGCCTCTCTGTAGATCCCCAGGCCCCCAGCACCTGAGCGAGAGCCCTCAGTCTTTCTCAGCCCTTACCTCTCCTGGCTCATCTGCACACTCTCTCTCTCTCTCTGAAAAAATATTTTATTGATTTTTAAAATATATTTTATTGATTTTTTTATAGAGAGGAAGGGAGAGGGAGAGAGAGTAAGAAACATCAATGAGAGAGAAACATCGATCAGCTGTCTCCTGCACACCTCCTACTGGGGATGTGCCCCCAACCATGGTACACGCCCTTGACCAGAATCGAACCTGGGACCTTTCCGTCTACCGGCCAACGCTCTATCCACTGAGCCACACCGGTTAGGGCTCACCTGCGCTCTCTTAGCTCCTCTCATTGCACCTGCCTTACCTGTGTTGTTGTTGTGTCAGGGTTGCGTTTGGGATAGAACAGCAGTTTGGAGAACAAGGTGATCAGCGTTCATTGGGATCACGTGTTTGGAGGAGCGAGCCTGGGAGTGAGAGCTGCCGGGCCGGGCCTCGCTGTCCTCTGTCCGCTCTGTCTGAGCTCTGAGACCGCGTGGCTTCGGAACGGCCCTTGGTTCCGGGCCTCCGGGAGGTCTCTCCTGCAGGAGGACCAGGAGCCTCCTCCCCCGGGTCTGTGCTCCTCGTGCATTTGTTGCTTGCAAACCTTCGGCATTTTCCTACTTGCTTAGCTGACCCTCTGGTTGGGGGTCACTGGCTTTTGCAATGTTTGTCCCTCTTCGGATGAGCCCATTAGACTCAGCTGGCTTGGCCCCCATTTGGTTTGGGATTTTTTGTGGGGTTAACAGCTTCTTTCTTTCTTTCTTTCTTTCTTTCTTTCTTTCTTTCTTTCTTTCTTTCTTTCTTTTTATTGATTTCAGAGAGGAAGGAAGAGGGAGAGAGCGATAGAAATACCAACGATGAGAGAGAATCATTGATTGATTGGCTGCCTCCTGCATGCCCCCGCACTGGGGATCAAGCCCCTGACCAGAATCGAACTTGGGACCCTTCAGTTCGAAAGCTGATGCTCCATCAGCTGAGCCAAACCGGCTAAAGCAACAAGCTTCTTTGCAAAGCCATCTTCTCAAGGCATGAAGTTGGAGGACAGGGACCTCGATCCCCAAGCCCTCTCTCTGTGCATACCTCCTACCTCCCATCCAGGCAGACAGTGTGAATGCCCCGACCTACAGGTGAGGGCACCGAGGCGCAGTCATGTCAAGTTCCAGGGCTCTCCCCAGGACCCCATGACCAGCCCGATTCTCGTTTCCCAGCTGTCAGGGATGGGGCTTGTGCAGGCAGCCTCTCTCTGGCTGCGTTGCCTGCCTCCAGCTCACCCATTCTGCTGCAGCCTCTCTCTCCACACCTGCCCAAGTGGGGGTTTTCTGACCCCCGGCTCCCCCTCCCCCATTGGATCTGGGCTGTACTCAGAGAGGAGACGGAGGTGACGGGTTAGGGACCTCAGGGGGTCACAGGAAGGGGGTGCTAGAAAGGCCTTACTAGGATTTGGCTTGATGGCACCTGGGGGGACTTCAGGAAGCAGGGCTTTGCTCGGGGTGGCGTGCTGCCAGGAAGGGGAGCCATTCTGTGACCAGTATCTCCACACACCTCTGGGGAGGACAGACTGGAGGCAGGCCAGTGGCGCTCAGAGGGGGCAGGGCGGGGCGCGCTCGCTCTTACTGGCTGGAACAGGGCTCGTGTTTTCTCTGTGTGCAGATGTGATTATGGAGTGGCTTTTTTTTTTTTTTTTTTTTTAAATCTTCACCTGAGGATATTTTCTCACTGATTTTTAGGGAGAACAGAAGAGAGGGGGGAAAGACAGACAGAAACTTCGATGTAAGAGAAACATGTCGGTGGGTTGCCTCCTGCAGGAGCCCCAACCAGGGCCGGTGTTGGGGAGGATCCTGCAACCGAAGCATGTGCTTTTAACAGGAATCGCACCCGGGACTCTTTGGTCTGCAGGCTGACGCTCTATCCACTGAGCCAAACCAGCTGGGGCTGGAGTGGTGTTCTTGTCTCGACGGGTCACAGAGGGGAGTCCGGTTCGTATGAAGTTGTTTATATCTAAACGGAGAACGCCCAGGCCTGAATCTGGGTGTGCGTGCCCGCTGCTGGTGACACTGGGCCTTGCTGCTAGGCCCCGGCCAGGGCCCAGAGGGAGGCTGCCTCCTTCCCTCCCTGAAGAATCAACGTGGTTGACCTCACAACTGCTGTGGTTCCATTCACCTTCAGGGATCAGTGTGCCCACCTTCTGCACCTCCACCTGCCCGCCCAGTCTTATCAGAGGCTGCCCCTTACCCCCTGGGTGGGTCACAGCAGGCCAGTCCACTGGCAGGAACACCCTCCTGCTTTGCCCCAACCCAGCCTGACCCCTTTTGGCACTAAAAACGACCTCCCAATGCCCCTGCCCCCCCCCCCCCAGCACTGCTCCAGCTTTTCTCTGGCCCTCCTCAGCGCATCTTCCTCCTGGCTTTCTTCACCTGCTGGCACCCGCTCACCACGGCCTGGTCATCCTGTGGCTGGACTCGTCTGCCTCAGCACCCAACTGTGGCCCTGCGGCGTCCCCTTCCCCTAAGGACAGGCCCCGCCCTTCCCCCTGGGCTGGTCTCCCTGCTGCAGGAAGGTCTCCTGGTCCTTGCCCGCCCTGCCCCACAACGCGAGGCCCTAGCTGTTCCCAGGAGCCTCCCCAGGCCTCAGAATTTATCCACCTCGAACTTGAGGAGAGACTGTCCTCGCACAGTTCGCCTGCCGCTCATGCCTGAGCTCCTTCTGCCCCGCTGTTCTCTCCAGCCCGTGAACGCTCCATGTTCCTCCTCGGTGGGAAGTCCTGCTGGGTCCGTGAGCTGCCTCTGAGCAGAGCTCTGGCGGGCAGGGCCCCTGGAAGAGGAACTGCTCCTGTTCAGGAGGCCGCGCAGAGGCGTGGGGAGGGCTGCGGCGCCGGCGGTCCGTGCGCAGCATGTGAACGAAGCAGGATGACTAAGGTGGCTGACAGCGGCTGGAACGGGCCAGGTGGATGCCGAGAAGGGGCCCAGGTGGCTGGGAAGGCAGGCGGCCTCCCAGCCCAGAGAAGGGGGGCCTGCCCGTGGCTTAGGCTGTGCAAGGTCAGGCCTGGGCGTGGAGGGCGAGGGGCCAGAGGGAGGCCAGCGGGAGCAGCCTGAGGGCAGATGGCAGCCACCGTGTTCCAGGGAGGAATCTGGACTCTGTCCCACCGGCAGCCGTCAGAGGGCTTGGGGTAGGCGGGTGGTGCAATCCGTGTTTAGAAAGGTTGTGGAGTGGAGCTGACAGGTGAGCACGGAGGGGCAGGCCTGGGGAGGAGGAAGGTGGGCAGGGAAACAGGAGCTGAGGCAGGAGGCACAAGGGGAGAGAGAACAGCCCCGTGTGGCCTGGGTGCTGGGGTGGGTGCTGCTGAGGAAGAGGACACAGGAGCAGCAGGTTAGGGGGGAGGAGGGCCTTGGTCTGGGGCAGGCCTCAGCTGAGGTGCCTGCTGACATGGGGGGGGGGGGGGCGGAGTGCTGTGCCAGCTAAAGGAGGGGGTTGATGGATTCCCAGGGAGGAGCAGCAGCCCAGGAGGATTCTCCAGCCAGGCGGGATAGAGGGCCCTGCGGAAGAAGGCTGCAGTGAGGGGGTGCCCTGGGTTAGGGGCTCAGGAAGGCTCAGGCAGGATCCTGGTCCTCAGAGCGGAGCTGGGGGCAGTGGAGGGACCCATCTCTGGGGAGCCAGGGTGATATGGACAGCCAGCTGGCACCTGGACATGCACCCGAGAGCCAGGGTGCAGATGGGTGAGGGCTGGAGGTGTGGCAGCAAAGCCATAGGGGAGGTCGTGCAGAACTCGCTGGGCTGAGGGTCCTGGAGGGGTGGGGCCCGTTGAGGCCAACGGAAGGTGCCGGAAGCAGGCCAGCCCATCTGCTGAGCCTGTCTTTGCCCAGCGCTCGGCCGGGAGCTCTAGTCTGCAGGCGTCTTGTGAGGCGGGCGGAGGGCTGGGGAAGGCCTTTGTTGGAGCCAGGCCTGGGTGGCATGTCTGCCGCCCAAGGATGGCGGCCGAGGGCCCTGCAGAGTCTGAGGAGCCTGGCAGGGGCACTGCTCTTTAGCAAGATGGTCGGGTCTCACATCACGCTGTGCAGGTCCCAGGAGGGAGTGGCAGCCAGCCGGGCCACATACCATCATGTCACCCAGGCACCTTGCTTTCCCAGGAGCCTCAGGGTCCTGTCCGCCACCTGGAACACTGGCTCACCCCTTAGGCCAGTGGTCGGCAAACTCATTAGTCAACAGAGCCAAATACCAACAGTATGATTGAAATTTCTTTTGAGGGCCACATTTTTTAAACTTAAACTTCTAACGCCACTTCTTCAAAACAGACTCACCCAGGCCGTGGTATTTTGTGGAAGAGCCACACTTTGCCAGCCACGGCCTCAGGACATAGCCGGGAAGAGTGCCTGGAGGGAGGTGGAAGCGTGGATAGGGCAGGATTAGCTGCTGCCGTTTGCTCTGCTGTGAGCTAACCCCACCATCGAGGCCCGGTCCTGCCCCTTCAGCACTAGGGTGGAGGCCCGGGTCCCCGCCTGGCCTCCTGCAAGAAGTGGCACCGAGAAGCGTGACAAGAAGAGCAGAGGGTCCCATTTATTGGCGTTTTAAAGACAGCAGAGTGAGAGAGAGGCATCTTTCTCACCGAAATATTCCATCCTCTCTGCCCTCCGGGCTCAGCACAGGAACGAGACCCTCCCCCCGCAGGTCCCCCAGAGGGCAGCACTCCAGGGTGGGGGCGGGGAGAAGGGGATACTCTATGCCAGGCGGGGGAGCTGGGTCAGGAGGCGAGTCGTGCACCCTCACCTCTCAGCTCCATCCCTCACCCCCGGGACCTGGGATTGCCCCCTGGGGTGGGCTGGCAGACAGGGCTCATGCAACAGTGAGTGGGCAGGAGGCGGCACAGAAACCCAGCCCTGCTACCCGGTGTCAGAGCGGGAGGGCTAGAGGGGCCATGCAGGCCACGGCGGGTCCACACGGAAGTATCTGCAGTGTACACACAGGAGGGTGGTAGGGGGGCTTCCTCTGTCCCAGGCTGCCCCCGGGAAAGAGAGGGGAGGTCCAGATGGCACTGCCACGCCAGCCACACCCCCCGCGTGGCAGGGCTCGGGCTACTCCTTGGCACGGCCGATGATGGTGAGGATGAACAGGAAGATGTTGATGATGTCTGTGTACAGGTTGAGTGCTGCGAACACGTACTCCTCCGGGCTCAGCGACAGCTGCTTGTTCCCCAGCAGCAGCTGGGTGTCCACTGCCAGGAACTGAGGTGACAGCATGCTGTGCTGAGGGACCCGCCCGCCCCCCGGCCCGGTGCCCGCCCCCGCCCGGTGACCGCCCCGGCCCGGTGCCTGCCCCACGGCCCTCACTCACGCAGGTGAAGAGCAGCGCGCCCAGCGAGGCGTACACGATCTCCAGGATGCGGTTGCGGATGAAGATGCAGAGGATGGCGAAGAGGATCAGCACCACCATGCTCACCAGCAGCACGCCCATGCACGACGTGAAGTCGTAGCGGGTCTGCAGGGACAGCGGACACAGGCCCTGGTGCCCCGGCCAGACTCCTGGCCGGCAGCCGCCCCCCGCCCAGCCCATGGCCCTCCCAGGCACGGAGGAGACCCCGCCAGGACCCCCACCTGCAAGGAGAAGATGACCACCGTGAAGCAGACGATGGTGGTGATGCCTACAGCCATGATGACCGCCTCGGTGTCGTAGAAGCTGGCGATCACGCCCACCATGTAGGACAGGCTGATGGTCAGGATCGACTGCGGGCAGACGGGGCCTTGAAGGTGAGGGCTGCTCCAGCCACAACCCTCCCCGCCCCCCAGTGCCCACCGAGTGTGTGTAGCGGGGCGGGGAGGCAGGGCCCTGGCGGCGGGGGCTCGGGGTCTGGGGTTACCAGTGCAATGAGGTTCCAGGGGTACTTTCGGCGGAACTCCCCGCAGCAGCTGAGGGCGATGAGGGAGATGAAGAAGACGGCGTAGGAGACATAGTAGGTCCAGACGTTCTCCCGGACGAAGTTCTTCACTTCCTTGATGAACGTGAACACGGCCACGGTGGACAGCGTCAGGGACAGCTGCAGGGTCAGCACCAGGAACACCTGGGGGAGGAGCCGCTCAGAGCCAGCCCGGCACCGCCGCCCCCACCCCCAGCCCGGGGGGGTGAGGCCCACCTTCCGGATGAAAGCCTGGCGGATGCTCTTGTCATCCCAGTTGATGGCAGGCAAGTCCTGGTTGCCATAGTAGGACGGGGGTCCATCCTCGTGATAGGTCCCATGCGGAGGGGCTGGGGAGCAGGGGGGCCCGGTCAGTGCCACCTGTGGGTCCCTGGAGCCCCTGCCCTCCCCTAGCCCCTGCCCCACTACTCACAGCCAGGGTCCTGGATCGGAAAGGCCTGTGGCTGTCCATAGGGGTTGGGTGGAAAGGGGCTCTGTGGATATGGCCCCTGAGGGTAGCCCCCTTGGGGGTAGGGGCCCTGGGGGTATCCCCCTTGGGGGTAGGGACCTTGGGGGTAATCTGCTTGGGGGTAAGGGGCCTGAGGGTAACCCCCTTGGGGGTAGGAACCGGGGGCCTGGGGATACCCTGGCTGGGCATAGGGGGAAGGCTGGAACTGGACCTGTGGGTAAGGGGCCCCGGGATAAGGGACCACGGGGGCCTGGGCCACCCCGGGGTATCCAGGGTTTGGGGGAGGATAGTTGTCCCCGGACACCAAGAAACTCTTCTCGTGAGGCATGGCCTCAGGTTCTTCGGCTCCCCCTAGAGGAGGGAGAAAGAACAGTCAGCCTGGGGCGACTTGTCCCCTGCAGCCCGGGGCGGCCCCACCTGCTGCCGGGAACGGAGGAAGGGGGAGGGTCCGCGACCTTTGCCTCCGGGCAGTCCCGGGCCCCACGCAGAGGGGCCCTTGGGTCCGGGAGGGTCGGTGGGTGGTGGGGCGAGGGCTTCCCGCCTGGAGGCCGCGCTAGACCCGCTCCCAAGGTGAAGGGGAGGCTGTCGGCCCGGGGTTTGGCTCCGGTTTTCTTAGAAGCAACTGGAAGGGCCTCCCGAAGCCGAGCCGGGCGAGGGTGCGGTCGGGCGGGCGCTGTGGGGTGTGTCCAGACCGCCCCCTTCGCATCCCTGCCCTTAAGCAGCTTTCGGCGGCTATTTCCATCCCAGGAAATCCCGGGCCGTCTGCGGCGGCCTGACCCTCCGAGCGCCCGGGGGGGGGGGGGGGGGGCGCGGCCTGGCTGTGCGGGCGCCGGCAGCAGCGGGGTGCGCCGGCGGCGGCGGGGTGCGGGGGTGTGTGGGGGATGGAAGCCGGCGGAGGCCGTGCGGGAACAAAGCGGGCGGGGGCGGGGGGCGAGCGGGAGCCGCGGCGCCCGGGAACCTGCTCCACGGCGGGGCCCTGCCTGCCAGGTCGGGGGTCGCCGCCGCCGCAGTCCGTCGGGCCCCCCCTCCCGCTCCAGGCCGCGGGCCTCCGACCCCCGTCACCACCCCGGTCCCCAACGGGTCGCGAGCCCCGGCCAGACCGACCGACCGACAGACAGACCCACGGGGGCGCCGTTGGCTGCGCAGGGTCCGCGCGGGGCGGGGGCGGCCGGCGGCGGCTCGGCGAGCGGCCTCGGCGCGGGGCCGGGCCGGGGACTCACCGCTCGCGGGGCCTCAGGCAGGTCGGTGCTACGGTGGGCGGTGCGCGGCCGCGCGGTCGATGGCCGCTGCGCCCGAACCGGTCCCCGCACCCGCTCCGCAGCCGCTCGGCGGGGCCTGCTTCTGCGGCTCGGAAGACGCTGCGGGCCTTGTGACGGAGCGGGTGGGGCGGGGCCTGGGGCGGGGCGGGGCCTCTAAGGGCGGACTGGGCCCGCTGCGGGCTCCTTCCCAGGCTCGAGCCCCCGGGCCCACCCTGTCTGCCCTAGAGGTGGGCCGGGGGTTGAAGACCTCTGACCTCTGCAGATTGGCGTTCGCCTGGCCACCTTGGTTCAGGGGTTGAGACATGTATTCCCAAAGCCCTCGCCATCCTTTCTTGGCCTTAACACACCACTTGTCCTTTAAAAAAAAAAAAAAAAAAAAAAAAAAAAAAAATATATATATATATATATATATATATATATATATATATATATTTTTTTTTTTTTACAAAGAGGAAGGGAGGGGGATAGAGTTAGAAACATGGGTGAGAGAGAAACATCCATCAGCTGCCTCCTGCACAGTCCCCACCGGGGATGTGTCCCCAACCAAGGTACATGCCCTTGACCAGAATCAAACCTGGACCCTTGAGTCCACAAGCCGATGCTCTATCCACTGAGCCACACCGCTTAGGGCCACCACCTGCCCTTTTTACCCAAGCCTCTCCCAAACCCAGAGGCCTAAGTACGTACTTAATTGGTCCATCGCCTGTCCCGGTGTTTGACAGTAGACCTTGTCCCTACAGTAGACCTTGACCCTCACTGTCCCCCTCACTGTCCTCCTCACACCTCACCACCGCAGACTGCAGTCCTTACACCTGTTTCACCGCTAAGGGGCTGAGGCTTCATTTCTTCCCTCAGCTCCAGCGGCCGTCCCATCCGGCCGTCCTGGGAGGCCGCTGACGGCCACAGCCAAGGACACCCTGCTGCGGTGCCTCTGCCCGGGGCCTGGCGCCTTGGCAGTTCCGGCTGTGGCGTGGTGAGCCTCTCCCAGGCCCCGCCGTGGTTTGGGAAGCCCTGTCTGTCCTGTGCCCCTGAGGTGCTGGTCCTATGGTTAACGAAGGGCCTGGCAAGGGGGAGCCCCGGCGTGCACATGCTCGTGGTGTAAACACCCCGTCATGCCTGGTTTCAAGCTACCACTGGCCATGGCAAGAGCTGTCCGGTGCCCGCAGCCCGGGCAGCCGCTCTGCAGCAGCAGGAGCAGCACGCTGGCTGAGCTGCACGGGTGCCAGGGGGCGTGCGCGCCGGGAGGAGAGGATACAGAGCAGGCAGGGATGCGTTTGGAGCTGAACGCGCGTGCAGTTTGGGAGACCATCAAAGACGACGGAGACGAGGTTGAGGTCAGAGCCTCGGGAGTGGCCTGTAGAAGGTCCTTCAAGACTTTCAGCTTAAATCTGCTCCCGAGAGCAGGGTACGGGGCCGGGGGGCCGGGGGCCCCGTGAGAAAGGCCAGTGCAGGGACGGAGGTGGGATTGGCCTGCTGTCCCGGAGGACCAGGCTGGGGCTGGCTGAGTGTGGGGAGTTTAGGCGGGGTGGGGCCCCAGAGGGAACTGGGGCTCCATCAGGCAGGGCCTGGCAGGCCCCCCACAAAGGACCCTCACTGGGAGTGACTCTGGCTTTTCTCATGTTCCAAACTGTAGCCCCTGATGGTGCCACGTGACCAGGCTCACTCTGCCCGCTCCCTGGAGGGACAGCGAGGCGCCTGGGAGGGCAGAGGGAGGCTCGTCACAAGGTTGCTGTAGAGACAGATCCAGGTGAGAGACGCGGAGGCTCAGGCCAGGGCAGGGGCGGCCCAGAGGCCGGTGTGCTGCTGGGCCTGCAGGGTGTCAGGTCCTCAGTCCCTGGGAGGAGCAGCGAGCGGGGTGGAGTCTGATGGGTAAGGGGAGGTGGGAGGTAGCGCACAGCCCTGAGCACACCTCTGAGGGGCTGGAAGCAGATGGGCATGGCAGCGGCGGGAGTTGGGGGGGGCGCTATTGTGAGAGGGAGTTGGATTCTCAAGGGGAACCCTAGGTGTGCACACCCCGAGGGCCCTGTCTGCGCCCCCACTTCCCTCTCTGTGACGAGGATTGGCTGTGGCAAGGCACGGGGCCTGCCCCCTCGGGGCCAGCCCTGGTGACAACCATGACGCGGGAAGGTGGGAAGGCTGTGCAGGCGCACCGACCGGGGAGGGAGGCAGAGGAGGGCGTGCGGGGAAGCACTTGCAGGTTAGGGGTGGACCGGACCCGCGGCTCGCCCTCCACGTGCGTGATGGGTGAAGCCTGGCCACCTGCCCGTTGTAAAGGGCGAGGGGCAGGTTTGGGCAGGCTGCAGGAGCGCTGAAAGCCAGCCTGAGCTAGGGGCATGCCTGGGGGACCCCCACCCCCACCCCGAGGCTGCGGGGGGAGGGGAACACAGGGGCTGAGGTCCCTGAGTCGGGGACAGTGACTGGAGCCCCCTGGTGGACTTAGTAGGAAGGGTGATTGGCCTTTAGAGGTTCGCAGAGAGAGGCCAATGGGAGAGGAGGACAGAGGGCTCACCCCCCACCAGGCCGTCAGTGGGCAGGGTGGGACCTGGGGCTGGAGGGCTGGGCTGAGTGGGCGCCCAGACAACAGGTGCAGGCGGGGAGAAGGTTCTGTCTGAGGACTTGCCTGCAGGAGGCAGCCACCCGGCCGGGCTGCAGGCCCCTCCCTTCCTCTGCCCTCAGACAGTTTCACTTTTGTTTCCTGGACCAGGGCTTTTGCCGGCTCAGTGGGTTTGGGGCAGCCCCAGCAGTGTACGTGAGGGTCTGGGTCGCCCAGGAAGGGGGTGCCAGGGGAGGCCGCGGGGGCAGGGGAGCTGGTGGGGGCTGGTCCCGCCCAGGGCTCCGATGGCAGAGGAAGAGGAGGCGGGGGCGGCCCTGGAGCTCGGCGGGCTGCCCCCCGACGTCCCGGATGAGCTGCTCACCCTCTACTTCGAGAACCAGCGCCGCTCTGGTGGGGGCCCCGTGCTGAGCTGGCGGAGGCTCGGCCTCGGGGGTGTGCTCACCTTCCAGGAGGCCTCAGGTGAGGGGCTGACGGGGAGGGCAGCCGGGCACGGCGGGGGGCCGCCTTCCCTGACGCCCCGCCTGCCCCTGCCTGCCCACAGACGCCGCCCGGGTGCTGGCCCAGAAGGAGCACGTGCTGCAGGGCGCCCGGCTGAGCCTGCGGCCGGCCCCACCCCCCGCGCCCGCCCGCCTGCTGCTCCAAGGCCTGCCCCCGGGGACCACCCCCCAGCGCCTGGAGCAGCACGTCCAGGCCCTGCTGCGTGCCACCGGGCACCCGGAGCAGCCCTGCCGTGCCCTGGCCAGCCCCCGCCCGGACCGTGCCCTGGTCCAGCTGCCCCAGCCCCTCTCAGAGGCAGGTGAGAGACGGGATGGGACGGGGCCGGCGTGCGTGCAGAGGGCATGCGCTGAGCCAACGTGCACCTTCCCCGCAGAAGTCCGGGAGCTGGAGGAGCGGGCCCTGGACCTGGACCTGGACGGGGCCACGGTCTCCCTGGCGCGGGTGCCCCAGGCCCGGGCGGTGCGCGTGGTGGGGGGCACGGCCCCTGCGGACCCGCTGCTGCTGCAGCTGTACCTGGAGAACGAGCGCCGGAGTGGTGGGGGCGCCCTGGCGGGCCTGCGCAGCCTGCCGGGGCCCCTGGGCACCGTGGTCTCCTTCCAGCAGTGGCAGGGTGAGTGGGGCGCCCCAGGGCACCGTGGTCTCCTTCCAGCAGTGGCAGGGTGAGTGGGGCGCCCCAGGGCACCGTGGTCTCCTTCCAGCAGTGGCAGGGTGAGTGGGGCGGGGCACGCCCGCCCACCGCTCTCACCCCGCAGGCCGCTCACGGGCCTCCCGGCCTCTCCCTTCTCTCCAGTGGCCGAGCGGGTGCTGCGGCAGGACCACCGGCTGCAGGGCTTGGAGCTGAGCCTGGTCCCGCACTACAGCGTCCTGGAGCCCGAGGACCTCGCTGCGGACGCCGGAGGAGGGGACCGCTCCGCCACGTTGGGGCCTGGGGCCGCTGAGCATGCTCTTCTGGAGGCTGGAGAGCCAGCGAGGACCCTGCAGGGTGCGGGGACCGTTACCTCGGCCTCTGAGGAGGCGCCAGGCCCGTCAGGAGCCCCTGGAAGGACAGAGCCCGCCGGGTCTCCGGGGCGGGCCGCGCCTGTCGGCGCGGGGCCCGTGGGGTCTTGGGAACAGGAGGGGCTAGAGAGCCTGGAGCTCCCGGGGCCTTCAGGGCAGGCAGAGCCGGTCAGCTCCAGGCCTGCAGAGTCCCCGGGCCCCGTGGGCTCCGTGGAGACCGCCCTGGGGCCTCCAGAGCAGGTGGGGTCCGGGAGCCTGGAGCCTGAGGGGTCCCCGGAGCCGGCGGGGCTGGTGGAGACGGTGCTGTCGATGGAGCCGGGCGCCATGCGCTTCATGCAGCTCTATCACGAGGACCTCCTCGCTGGCTTGGGCGACGTCGCCCTCTTCCCCCTTGAGGAGGCAGATGTGACCGGCTTTCGAGTGAGTGACCTTTGCTGAGTCCTCCCCGGAGGCCCCCTCTCCCCTGGGAGCTCTGGGGACCTTTCTGGTGCCCTAACCCGGTGAGCTGCCCCTCACCCAGCCCTCTTCCGCAGCTCTGCGGAGCCCGGGCCCCGTGCCGGGCCGCGGAGGAGTTCCTGCAGAGCCTGCTGGGCAGCATCGGCTCCCACGTGCTGAGCCTGAGGCACCCGGGCAGCGCCAGGTTCCTGCTGGGCCCCGAGGGGCAGCACCTGCTCCGGGAGCTGGAGGCTCGGTTCCAGTGTGTCTTTGGGACGGAGCGCCTGGCCAGGGAGGCCCTGGACACAGACCCCACGGAGGTGGAGTCCCTGCCCCTTCCCTTCCTCACACCTCCGCCTGGCACCGCCTCCCCTGCTCAGAGGCTAGGGAGGGGTGTGAGCCTCAGGTGAGGGGCTGACGGGGCCTACTGTTCTCTCCTGACAGGTGGACCCCACTGAGGCCCTGCAGGCCCCCCCTGGCCAGTCCCACGCTCTGTGGCCCCCAGACAGCACAGGCGGGGACCCCGAGAGCCTGAGCCTCGGTAGGCCCTCTGGGACCCCGCACATCCCTCACCTTCCTCCTTGCTTTGCACGCCCCCCCGTCTTGTGATCCCGTATTCCTCAAGCACCTCATTTTCACCTGTTCCCCGACTCCTCCTATCCTTCAGCCCCACCTTGGCTGGTCTCGACCCCTCACCCGTGCCTCTCCCTGTCCCCAGAGACGGTCCGAGAGCTGCTGGCCACTCTGGAGGGCCTGGACGGGGAGGACAGGCCGCCCCTGGAGCTGGGGGAGGAGGAACCGGAGGAGCCGCCAGAGGAGGAGCCTGCACCCAGCGCCTGGGAGAAGCCCGAGGCCCCCAGCACTGAGGCCCCCGCGGGGCTGGAGGAGGAGGCCGCGCTGCAGCTGGCTCTCCACCGGTCCCTGGAGCCGCAGGGCCGCGAGGCCGAGCGGGAGGAAGCGGCTGCGCTGCAGCAGGCGCTGGCCCTCTCCCTGCTGGAGCCGACCCCGCTGCAGGCCGAGGAGGAGCTCCTGGGCGGGGGGCCTGGTGGCCGGGCCCAGCTGGTGGTGCATGCGGCCTTTGAGCAGGACATGGAGGAGCTGGACCGGGCCCTCGGGGCTGCCCTGGAGGGGCACCTCCGGGAGGAGACGGTGGGGCTCCGGGGCCCCACGCTGCCCGCGGAGCTGCGCACCCGCCTGGAGCAGCGCCACGGCGTGAGCGTTGCCCTTCACGGTGACGGCGCCGTTCTCCGCGGCTTTGGGGCCCAGCCCGCCCGTGCAGCCCGCCACTTACGGGCGCTCCTGGCCGGCCCCTGGGGTCAGAGTTCGCCCGATCTTTCGGAGGCTTCCAGCCCCACCGGTGAGCCTGCACCTGGGACAGGGGAGGGTGGGGAGGGCCGGCTCTCCGGACCCACCCAGACCTTCTCTCTCCCCACGTGGCAGGGCCGCGGCGGAGGCCGGAGGGGCCCCTGGGCAGGCTGGAGAGTCTGGCCGAGAGCAGCCCTGAGTTCCGGGCGGTGGTGCAGGCCTTTTACGATACCTTGGACTCTGCCCACAGCTGGGTCCGCATCGTCCGGGTGAGTGCAGGCTCGGTCTCGCCAGCCTCGCGGCCTCCTGGGCTCTCGGCACGGTTTTCCTCTTGCAGAGCCTGTGGGCTGTCATTTAAAAAAAAATAATATATATGTTTTTATTAATTTTTAGAGAGAAAGGGAAAGGGCTAGAGAGATAGACACACCAATGATGAGAGAAAATCACTGATTGGCTGCCTCCTGCACACACCCTACTGGGGATCAAGCACGCAACCCAGGCATGTGCCCTTGGCCGGAATCGAACCTGGGACCCTTCAGTCCCCAGGCCGATGCTCTATACACTGAGCCGCACCAGCTAGGGCTGGGCTGTCATTTCTGCTGGTCAAGGTCAGCTGGCCAGGAGCGGCCCGGCTGGGGCAGGCTGGGAGCTGCTGGGAGAGGGAAGAGCACCCGGCTCCCAGCATCATTCCCTGCCTGGAGGCCTGGGTTGGGGGAGACAAGGGCGTAGAGGTGGTGGGGGACAGTGGGGAGCAGTGTCCCAGGTCCTGGCAGGCTGGAGCAGGCCCCTGCATTACCAGCTGCACCAGCGGCGCCATCTTGTGGCGCTTGTAAGGATGACTCACTCCACAGAGCAGGGGGGTGTGCTGTTCTGGGTCTCTTCTGCCTCTCACAGTGGCTCCAGCAAGAAGAGGGCTGGCCAGCCCTGGCTGGTGTGGCTCCGTGGAAGAGCATTGGCCTGCAGACCAAAGGGTCCCGGGGTCGATGGCGGTCAAGGGCACATATCTTGGTTGCAGGCTCCTTCCCGGCCTGGGCCCTGGTCGGGGCTGGTGCAGGAAGCAATCAACCGATGTGTTTCTCTCCCATCGATATTTCTCTGTGTCTCTCCCTCTCTCTTCCATTCTCCCTAACGATTGATGAAGAAATGGCCTCGGGTGAGGAGGGGTGAGGAGAAACCAAACAAAGAAAGAAGATGAGGGCTGGCGGCAGGGCCACCCCCCTCCTGGCCTGTTACTTGCTAATCGAGGCGTCTCTGAGCGTAGCTGCGCTTCACAAAAGGCTGGGACCCCCGTGGGAGCCAGAGTGAAACCCCAGGGGTGCAGGGAGGAAAGGCTGAGGAGGGGCTGGGCAGGGGTGAGTGTTGCAGGGGGGCGAGGCCCAGGACAGCTGCAGGGCCAGAAGGAAGGACAGGAGGAGGCTCTGCCGGGCTGGTCAGATGGCAGGAGGGTGAAGGCAGGGCTGGAGCTGGAGCTGGGCTGGGAGGACAGGATCCAGACCGAGGAGAAGCTGGTGAAGGGAGGCAGGCAGGGGAGGAGTCGCTGCGGTAGAGAGCAGGGCTGCAGGCTCACGGGCAGGCTCACGGAGAGCGTGAAGGGAGAGACAGTGAGAGCTGGCACATGCGTCAGTGATGCCAGCCAGGTGCTCTCCTCTGCTGATGCACAAAGTGTGGGTGGACCCAGCTCCTCGGCGACCCGGAGCTGGTCAGAGCGGCAGGGCCTCTGGCCTTGCCCACACCCGCCCTGCCAGCTGCCACCACCCGCTAACCTTCGGACCTGGCAGCTGTCCCTCGGGGCGTCGGGAGGGGAGGGACACCCTGCAGCCGCATGCCGGCTCCCTGCACGTGTGGTCAGCTTTGTGCACGTGAGTCTCCCGGGCACCACCTGTGACTGGAGGATAACCCTGGGACCCTCCCCCACCCGCTCCCCATGATTAGGGCTTGTGTTTTATTTATTTATTTTTAAATATTTTTTTATTTATTTTGTACAAAGAGGAAGGGAGAGGGATAGAGAGTTAGAAACATAGATGAGAGAGAAACATCAATCAGCTGCCTCCTGCACAACCCCCGTTGGGGATGTGCCCACAACCAAGGTATGTGCCCCAACCGGAATCGAACCCAGGACCCTTCAGTCTGCAGACTGACGCTCTATCCACTGAGCCAAATCGGTTTCGGCTGTGTGGTTTTTTTCGGGTGTGTGTGTTTTTTTTTAAAAAAACATTTCTGTTCACTTACATGAGCACAGCTGGTTCTTGCCTATGTTAACGTGCCCTGATTTTTGTCCTCACCAATAACAGCTTGGCTGCATGGAGTGCTCAGGATCAGAATATGTCTTCTTTCCAGGAATCTTGGGAAAACATTGCTCTTTTTCTTTAAAAATGTTTGTTCTTGAAGAATTGAAAAAAGAAAATCTCTCTTTGGTTTCTGAGCACCCGGTATCGGCGGGGAGGGCCCTGCGTGAGGGTGGGAGACGTTTCCGTCCTTGCAATGACGGTGGTGTGGGTGTGGGCATCACTGGTCTCTCGCTTCTGGCAGGGCGTGTCCTCCCCACTGTCCTCGTCATCTCCGGGGTCCTTCCCACCCAGAGACGCCGCCGTCAGCCGGGGGACACTGCCCGCGCTCGCTCCCCTCACCGCTGCCCTCGTCCTTTCCCTTCGCCCAGGCGCAGCCTCCTCCCTCACGGCCTCCACAGGCTCCGCTCTTTTCTCTGGCTCTGCACTCAGCGTCCCTCCTTACCTCCATGCCCGCTAGATTTCGTTCAGCAATTTAATTCCTTAAACGATTTTAAAAAATATATATTTTTTAATTGATTTCAGAGAGGAAGGGAGAGGGAGAAGATAGAAATGTCAATGATGAGCCAAAACAGGTTTGGCTCCGTGGGTAGAGCACTGGCCTTCGAACTGAAGGGTCCCAGGTTGGATTCCAGTCACGGGCATGTACCTTGGTTGCGGGCACATCTCCGGTGGGGGTTGTGCAGGAGGCAGCTGGTCGATGTTTCTCTCTCATCGATGTTTCTAGCTCTCTATCCCTCTCCCTATATTATAAATAAAATAAAAAAAGAAATGTCAATGATGAGAGAAATCATTGATTGGCTGCCTCCTGCACGCCCCCTCCTGGGGATGTGCCTGCAACCAAGGTACATGCCCTTGACGGGAATCAAACCTGGGGCCCTCCATTCCGCAGGCTGATGCTCTATCCATGAAGACACACCGGTTAGGGCTATAAAAATACATGTTTTTATTGACTTCAGTGAGGAAAGGAGAGGGAGAGACACAAACATCCATGATGAGAGAGACTCATGGACCGACTGCCTCCTGCACGCCCCCCACTGGGGATGGAGCCCACACCCCGGGCCTGTGCTCTGACCCGGAGTCAAACCAGGACCTCCTGGCTCACAGGTGGCCGCTCCTCCACTGAGCCACGCTGGCCCGGCCAACACAGGGCTCGCCGTTTCCCGCCCCAGTGTGGCCCCTGTGGGCCAGAGGGTCGGGAAGGTCGGCCTCCAACGGACCCTGTGGCCGCCTGGCAGGTGGAGCGCCTGGAGCACCCGCTGCTGCAGCAGCAGTACGAGCTGCACCGGGAGCGCCTGGAGCAGCGCTGTGAGCAGCGGCCCGTGGAGCACGTCCTGTACCACGGCACGTCGGTGCCCGCCGTCGCCGAGATCTGTGCCTACGGCTTCAACCGCAGCTTCTGCGGCCGCAACGGTGAGCCCGCCGGAAGCTGGGTGCCTGGGGGTGGGGAGGGGGGAGGGGGCGTGGGCTCTGTGGCCCCGGGGGCCCTGACCCAGCCCTGTGGCCCCGCAGGCACGCTCTACGGACAGGGCGTGTACTTCGCCAAGCGCGCCTCCCTCTCCGTGCAAGACCGCTACTCGCCGCCGGACGCCGAGGGCCACAAGGCCGTGTTTGTGGCGCGGGTGCTGACCGGGGACTACGGGCTGGGCCATCGCCAGCTGCGGGCGCCCCCTCTGCGCGCCCCGGGCCACGGGCTCCTGCGTTACGACAGCGCCGTGGACTGCCTCCGCCAGCCCAGCATCTTCGTCGTCTTCCACGACACCCAGGCGCTGCCCACCCACCTCATCACGTGCGAGCACATACCCCGGGCCCCGCATCCGGACCCCTCTGGGCTCCCGGGCCCCTCCCCGGACTCCTAGCCCCAGCGGCCCCCTCGGCTCTGTCTCTGGCCCGGTCCCTGGCCTCCTGCTCTCCGCGGGCCGCACACAGCCTGACAGACCTGCCGCCGGAGCCCCCGCCCCCTCCCTGTGGAGGTGCGGGGACCCGGAGCCGCCAGGAGGGGGGCGGATCCCCGCAGGGCGCGCCCGGCCGCCAGGGGTCAGCAGAGCCCAGGAGGAGGCTGACGCCGACACCCTCCGAGGCCACACCTCGCTGCAGCGCGACTCTGTCATTTGAATAAACGTGGAGCCCGGCGGAGGGACCTGCTGGAGCAACTAGTCCGTCCGACCTCCTTGGACCGGCGGGAGGGACCCCGCGGTGAGGGGCGGCGGCGGCGGCGGTGGAGGGGGTGCGGTGAGGCAGGCCCGCTGCTTCCCTGAGGCGATCCAGGGCGCGCACCCCACGTCGCCTTGGGGTCACGCACGCGCCCCCAGCAACGGCCCGGCCCGCCCCGTGCGCGCGGGGAGGTGGCCGCGCCTGGCGACGGGGGCTCCGCCCGGGCCGAGCCGCGCTGGTGCTCCAGCCGCGCCGCCGCCGTGGGCGCCGGGCCCCGCGCGCACTGGGCGCCCCACTGCAGGGCGGGCGGCGTTCGGTCGGGAGCCTGGGCGGGGCTCCGGGTTCGCCCCGCCCGCGCCGCCTCTGAGACTCTCCGGGTCCAGCAGTCGGGCTGCGGCGGCCGAGCTCGCGGAGCGGAGCAGCAGGCACGTACGACCGGGTCCGAGGCGGAGGCGCGCGGCTCCCGGGGGCCTGGGGCGGGGCGGGGGCTCTCCGGCCTCAGAGCCCGGAGCTGCGTCCCGGAACTGGGGGCGACGTGGCGGCCCATCCTCCCTCGGGAGGACTCCACCTCTGCGCCCCGAGACTGCGGAACTGGTCGGGCGGTGCCGGGTGTGGACAGGAAAAACTGCCGGGCGGCTCCGCTGCCCCGGGCGCCGGGCGGGGGGCTGGAGCGCAGGCGGCCGGGGCAGGTGCCGGAGCGGCGGGCGCAGTGGCCCCCCTGGCCGGTGCCCCTGACCCCCCCACTTTAGCTCGAGGGCCGAGGCACAGAGCCCACATTGTGCCCCACCCCACCCCACCCCACCCCACCCCACCCCACCCCCGGGAACAGAGCCCCATTCACCGCGCACGCCGGCGCTCGGGCGCGGGGAGCGGAGAGTGTGCACGCGTGGGTGTGGGTGTGGGTGCGCGGGCGGCGCCGGCGGGGCGGGGCGGGTGCGGGTGCGCCGGGTGGGTGGGCGCCCAGCGGCTCCCTCCCCGCCGCAGCCCGCAGCCCGCAGCCCCGGCCCCGGCCCACGCGCTGCGGCGCCGGCTATTTATAGGCGTCACTGCGGAGCCTGCGGGGCGGGCGGCGGGGCCGGGAGCCCCGGAGGCTGCGGCCGCTGGGAGACGGCGTCCTTGTCCGGGGGATGGGGCCGGGGCCTGGGCGGGAGGGGCAGCGGTCAGTGCTTCCGGGTGGCCTGGTTTCCCGGTGGCCAGAGGCTTAAGGAGCCGGGCCAGGTGGGGGGTGCGGGGCGCGGGGCGGCCGGTGTCAGTGATGCGGTGGAGGCGGGGCCGCGTCCACCGGGAGGTTAACCGCCCCCCATCCCCGCCGTTGGTTAGGGTCAGTGTCCTCTGCTGTGGCGAGCCTGTGGGTGACAGCGCGGAGGGGTCAGCGTGGGTGACTAAGAGGAGGGGCCGCCATGGGGGGTCACCGTCCTCCTGATGCCGGGGCGCAGGGAGGTCGGTGCCGGGAGGGGTCCCTGCTGGTGTCGGGGGTGAGCCGGGGGTGGGGCCATGTGGGCGGAGCAGGTGGGGTCAGTGGGTGCTGAGGTGGGACACGGGGGTGGGGGTCCGTGTCGGGGGAGAGGTGGGTGGGGTGCGGCCAGTGTCCCGGTGGAGAAGGTGCCGGTCAGTGTGCAGTCCGCCAGCGTGACCCCTCCCGCTCCCTCTCCCGCAGGCCATGTCGGGGGAGGACCCTGAGGTGCGGCCGGCGGCCGAGGACGGCTCCTCCAGCGGCGGCAGCGGCTCCCCCAGCCCCGGGGACACGCTGCCCTGGAACCTGGGCAAGACGCAGCGCAGCCGGCGCAGCGGGGGCGGCTCGGCGGGCAACGGCAGCGTCCTGGACCCGGCGGAGCGCGCCGTCATCCGGATCGCAGGTACCGCCGGCCTGTCCTTGGTTTCTGGGCGCCGGCCTGTCCTCTGGTGTCTGGGCGCCGGCCTTTCCTCGGGTGCTGTCCTCCGGCTTCTGGGTGCCGGCCTGTCCTCCGGTGTCTGGGTGCTGTCCTCCGGTGTCTGGGCGCCGGCCTGTCCTCCGGTTTCTGGGTGCTGGCTGACCGTCCTGGCGGCCGCCCAGAGCCGCGCCGGGTGCAGGTGTGGGGGCGGGAGGGACAGGTGAGCGGTCTGAGGTCGGAGAGGCCCGGTTTCCCCGCGGTTGCAGGCGGCACGGCGCCACCTCCTGGCCGCACCCGGTCTCTGCACCAGGCGGAGCTGAATTCCCTCGGCGGCGCCATCACAGGCCTCCTGACCCAGCCCAGCGCCCCAAGGCCCTGAGGGTGCGTCCTGGGGCTCCTGGGGCCGAGCTGCCTCCCAGGCCCCACTGAGAGGCGGTGGAGGCCCGTCCTCAGGGCAGGGCCTGGCCTGGCTCTCCAGGCGTGAAGAGGGAAAAGCCAGGTGGAGAGGCCTCGGGCAGAGGAGGGCTGGCAGCTGGACAGGGGCCCCGCCCGCCCGTGGGGAAGGGGTGGCCTCGTTCTGGACGCCCCCCAGGATGTGCTGGGCACCGAGGAGCCGGGGAGGGTCGCTCTGCCAGGCTGTGGAGTCCGTCCGCACCCACCATTCGGACCCAGACGAAGGGGAAGCATTTGGAGGGCAGGGCTGGCTCTGAGGGGGCTGAGAGGGTGGCCCGAGGCGGGTGGGGGCGAGGCTGGGTGGCCAGCTGCTGAGCAGGGATGCTGTGGGCAGCAAGGGACTCCGGGGTGGAAGCAGAGAGGACCAGGAGGGGAGGGGGCTGACCACCGCCCTGCCCCCCACCCCCAGGGGCAGGTGTGAAAGGGACCCATGACTGACAGGTGGTTTTCTGGCGTCACATATGGAGTTTAAAAGTCCTGGCCCTGGCTGGTGAGCTCAGTGGATAGAGCGCCAGCCTGCGGACTGAAGGGTCCCAGGTTCGATTCCGGCCAACGGTACATGTCTGGGTTTCCGGCTTGATCCCCAGTAGGGGGCGTGCAAGAGGCAACCAATCAACGATTCTCTCTCATCATTGATGTTTCTATCCCTCTCTCCCTCTCTCTTTTTCTGGTGAGCTCAGTAGACAGAGCGTCAGCCTGCCGACTGAAGGGTCCCAGCTTTGATTCCGGTGAAGGGCATGTACCTTGGTTGCGGGCACATCCCCAGAGGATCGATGATTCTCTCTCTCATTGATGTTTCTGACTCTCTATCCATCTCCCTTCCTCTCTGTAAAAAAATCAATAAAATATATATTTTTAAAAAGTGATCCTTGCCCTGGCTGGTGAGCTCAATGGTTAGAGACCTCCACAGGGGTCACAGGTTGGGTTCCCAGTCAAGGGGTGAAGGATCCATCCTGGCCTGGGAGGCAACCAACCCAAGTTTCTCTCTTTCCCCTTCACCCCCCCCCCCCCCGCCCTTTCCATTCTTGAAAAAAAAAAGAAATCAGTGGAAAAATATCCTCAGGGTGAGGATTGACAACAACCAAAAACAGAGGCCCTTTTTCCCCCAAATGAAGGCCAATCAGGAATGTCCTTCCCTGGCCTCGCCTTCCTCTCCGTGGTCCCTGCCCCAGCAGTGGGCTCTGGCCTGGAGGGGCCAGGGGGGGCCGCAGGCATGACCCATGGATGTTCTCAGCATTGATTCCCAGAGGGGGCTTGGGGCTCTGCGTGGGGCGTCTGAGGAATATGCCCGGGGCATCTCAGAAAGCCAGGCGCCTGCCAGTGCGGTGGAAAAGAATGTCTCTTATTGGTACCAAGCCTTTTATTTCTTCTAAGAATTCCCTATTTCAGCCCTTTTATATTGCATAAAGTTTATTTTTATTGTAATCGTCTTAATATATATATATATTTTTAATATTTTATTGATTTTTTTTACAGAGAGGAGGAGAGAGGGACAGAGAGCTAGAAACGTCGATGAGAGAGAAACATGGACCAGCTGCCTCCTGCACTGGGGATGTGCCCGCAACCAAGGTACATGCCCTTGACCGGAATCAAACCTGGGACCTTTCAGTCCTTAGGCCAACGCTCTATCCACTGAGCCAAACTGGTTTCGGCTTCTGGCCCATTCTGGTTGTTTCAAGATCAAAGCATGATTCAAATTGATTATTTGTTGTCTGTAGCGATCAGTATTAGCAGTTTCACCCCATTTTAGAAGCTCATAATACACCACACCTTCCGGGTCCCACCAAACGCAGAGCATTGTCTTCTTCCCGAAGTGATCTGGCCTGGCAGTCGATGTTGATGGTCGACCTGGATCAACCCGTGATTTCGTGCGTTTGGGATTCTCAAAATAAATCCACTTTTCATCGCCAGTCACAATTCGATGCAAAGAAGACTTTCTTTCGTGCAGTTGAAGTAACATTTTACAGATGACTTTTCGGTTTTCCATTTGTCTTTCGTTCAGTTGATGTGGCTCCCATTTTCCTTCCTTTAAAATCTTTCCCGTTGCTTGTAAACGATCGGAAATTGTTTGCTGAGCAACGTGTAATCTTTCTGCAAGTTGTTTTTGAGTTTGACACGCATCTTCATCCAATAATGCTTGTCATTGTTGGTCTTCAAACTTTTTTTGGTTGACCTGGACGTTCTTTGTCTTTCACAGTGAAATCATCACTTTTATAGCGTTTAAACCAGCGTTCACAAGTATCTTAAGATGGAGCATGTTCACCATAAGCTTCCGAAGTATAGATAACTTTTTCTTCAAAATAATGAATTAAAACTTCACGCAAATGCCCTTTTTTTGGCATGAAATTCGACATTTTTAAGTGTAAAAATATCTATGATGT